CATTAACCGCCAATAAGGGGGAATCTGCTTTTAAACGAATGCAAATAATTTCGCGGACACGTCATATCATCGCCAGAAATCAAGGACATTTCGTACCATGACTTACCCAATTTGAGCACCGCAGATCTTCTATTTGATGAAAAGAAAAAGAAAAGAAGACCTGCAAGTAAATCTTTGGGATTTTTCGAGGCAGAGCGATGACATGATGTCAGAATTTTGATTTGCTTTTATTAAATTTTCGCGCCAAGATGACTGAATTTGTATTCAACGCCTGGCATATTTTTATTCATAAAAGGACCTGAGAACTAATTTATTTACCAGCATGAACATAAAGAAATATGGCCGACGATTCGAAGATCAGCTTTGCACGTGTTAAACCATTTCAGTCATAGTTTTCAACATGGTGTCTCGTCACTTACTCAGCATGAAAAATAAGGGATATTCTGGCTCGTTGGGAAGTTTTTTGATAGGAGGAAATGGCAATTTTTTAGGATATTTGGACGCTTCGAACTCAGTAGCAGTCAATTCGATCGAGAGCAGTTGACTTCATTGATGCACTTTCCTGTAATAGGCGAGTGTTTGGGATGGAGAACGACGGATTTTGAAGAACTGTAGGGCGACTTAGGTCAATGGACAATGACAAAAGAACTGGCTCGGGAAGTAAGTGGTTTTTATTTATCGAGTCACTGAGAGGTTTGATGAATAGCAGAATCAGTACTGAATATGTCTCGATCGAGAGCGGACGGGACCCTGAGCTCCTGATTGTTATATTTCAGAAATTTTACAAATTTCCCTACAGGTTCTTATATTATTTGGACGCCATTATGGGCGAAATGCGCAAGCACGGCCGCCATCTTGTCCAATATTTCTGCCAATGGTTTTTAAGAAACAACGGAAGTTTTGAACGTTATTTTTCTGGGAAATGTTTTCGAGCCAAATTTCGTTGTATGTTCGTTTTCGAACCATTTCGCCCAGATTCTAAAGAAGTGTACGACTAAGCTTGAATTACCCAGACACATCAAAAGCAGAGCAGCATTTGTTTATCTTGGCGATGAAAGCATTTCCACCTTCGATCCTTTGTGTGGTTGTTCTGTGCCTCACAGGTAAGATTGACGTGGGTTTGATGTTATGATGTTGAAGATGTTTTTGAAAATGTTGTCTTCTTCACGTTGCTTTAGAATAACCGAACATTTGGCTAATATTCTTACGAGGAAAGTGAAAAATACAAAACTCGAAGTAGTGGACTGCGAAGTGAGTGGCTCAATATCTTAAAAGAAGCTCGTCATAATGAATTTTACAATGCCCCCTCTTAGACACAAAAGATGATACAAATTGTAGGCAAATTTCGGGAAACTGTAGTAAAAGGAGATTTCGGTAATTTGGTCAAAATATATGTAAGTTGCTGTGAGGCGGAAGTTGCGAGAGCGAAACTAACAGCAAAGTACCTTTCATGTTCGAAACGTGTCAGTTACCCAGATTAAGCCATAACAATTGGCAAAGTTTGATATGGAGACGCGAAAACAGGTGAGTAATGAGAATTATCAAAGAAAGTGGAAAGCGACTGTCGCCATACGCGGTCTCAGAAACACCGTCTGGTATTGTTTATCATTTTCAGTCGAAAGTTTCTATCGAAATACACCGTAAAAAAGCAAAAGAAACGTGCTAGAATTACTTTAAAGACATCAAAACAAATAATAGCCTCAGAACACATTCAAGGCTTTAAATTTCGTATGCGTGAGAAAGGAAAGCTTTATCGTAAACAACATAGCCACTCGGAGCTAATGTATCACCGCAACCTATTAGGAAATGTCGCTTATTGGACAGTTCTTTGAATTGTCTACAGCTATTAACGTAACTCTGAATCTTGACAACGGTGGAAAATCAGGAATCCCAGAGAATGTAGCCGGAGTTGGGAATTGGAGCCGATTCAAACCGTAAAAAAAAAATCCTTAAGACCGCACTTTCCGAAAAATATTAATTCCTTGCTTTCTGAAATCACGAAATTTTGCCAAATGTAATAGCCCTTTGTACAAAAGTCACTGTAATAAATGAGAAATTTTAAGGCAAATCTTTGAAAAAAGACCGCGAAACTCTTTGCTAGGTGCCTTTAACATGACCTAATTTAATCGAATCTAATTGAGTTAAATATCATTACGTTAACAGCTAACAGATCTTGGAAATTTAGGAATTAGAAAAAACTCGAGATCAAACAAGTGATGCAATGTTTAGTTGGCCGAGAGGCGGGAAATATTCTTATCAGATATCACAAACGTTGCGTGGTTATTAATTCGTTACGATTGCATATTTATTTCAATACACTTCTGTCACTGCTGATTCAGCTGCAATGTGAGTGGCTCCCGATAAACACGTGAAGAGTACGCTGCTGCTTTTTCCTTTAAATTTGCAGCATCAAAATTAGCAATTTATTTCATGATTTTTAGGCAAAATTAGCTTTTTACACTTCTTTTCATTTCTCTGAGTAGCTTGGGTCGTTATAAACGTATTTGAACCATTTCATTTGTTTTAAATTGTATCAATCAAAGCGATGAAGAAACCTTCGATACTTTGGATTTGTCATCTTGTGATTCACTTCGTTACAGGTAAGCCAAACAGTTCTTCGCGTAGGAGTTAATGAGCTCTTGGACATGATTTTATGTCGGCCAATTAACAGTCCTACCTTGGTGTCCAAAACGATCGTCGGTCAGAAACCTGAAGAACAGAAGAAGAATGCTATATTTCAAGTATTTTTCAAACCGCGTTTTATCAATAAGCAGATCAAAAGCCTTACGCAAAATGCTGAAATGACATTTAAGATTGACGATGTCTTTTTACGGACAAAATATGATAATAAATGCGAACTTCGGAGCATTAGTGTATATCACACTTCAGAAGAATTGCGAAGCGGAAGTCGATCGTTAGAAAGTGAAACTAAGCGAATAATATGCAGAGGAAATAGGCTCACACGGGACAATTGAAGGCACGGCGCGCCTTTCTAGACAATATTCAAACTAGTTCAATATGGGATGGATTATTCATATTTATGTGCCATATTTTCAATTTTAACTTTACAGTTGCTACTACACAGTGTGTGGCAAACTGGTGACACCGTTCTTCAAGATTTCGAGACAATTGTTGTGGGCTATACTAAAATTGTTCTAAGTGCTAGGTCTGTTAGATTATCTTGAAATCCTTCTGCGAGTCTTGGTTTGTCACGTGCTGCAAGACCACATATTTATTTTTACCCTTTGAGAGTTGTGTCCTTGATCGTTGTAATAGGGCTTAATAATCGTACGATAATCGTCATCGCGAGTCGTGTTTGGGTTTGTCCTTGACCTTCCTTAGAGTCCTAGGCAGGGAGTTTTGTTTAGGTTTTAACTCTCTCTTGTTCTCGAAGATTGATCGTTACTAAGTACTTTGTTGTTCTTTCGAATGTCTTGCGAGATTGTTTTGGTTAGTGTTCTAAAAATATATTTATATTTTTTTTGCCATGATCAGTTGTCCGTAAGCCCAAACATGCTTACCGACAAAGTAGTTAAGAGCGGGTATTTGAGGCTGAATTAGTAAAAGAGAGACAAAGTCTCGGAGACTAAGTAAAGTTCCTGAACAGACTCCTGGGGCCTCTCACTTGCTTGAGTTGCTCAAGCTAGTTAACCCAAACAGTTCAACACAATATATTTTAAAAGAGGTTGGCTGCTCATCGTGGTTGTAAGTCATAAAAAACTGTTTAATCGTTTGTCTCACGATGAAGTCACTTGAGATGTAGATCACGACCTTTCGACTGCTTTCTGCTAGTCTTCATCAGGCGATGGGGTCGACTGCTCACGTGTTATCATTTGTATCACGGCGATCATCATGTGATTAGTGAATTTCGAACACCATTGTTTCGATGAGTTCTGATTTTCCAAGAGGTCTGACTCCAAGTTGTTCCCTCGGCGGTCTGTTGTCGTAACGGTCTACTGTTGTGTTTCTTGATTGTAGGTATCCACGCTTCAGGAAATTCGATTCCGTTATCTATGTTGATGTAATCGGGGTGAAGTCTTCAAAATGAAATTTTGGAATCATTTGTTTCTTTAAGTTAAAATGCATCCGTTTCTCAGAAACTGATCCCCTTTGGCAATATCATTTCTGAGAAAAAGCGGAACTGAAACTATGATTTAAGAGGTTAAATATATCACAGGCAATATCTTGACGGACCACGGTAACCTCGTTGCAGTTGAGCTAATGTACGGAGTGATTTGAATCGAGTAACTGCGTTAATTTGGAAATTTGAGGATTTGGCAGATCCTCAACTGAACAGAAGACGTGCCTGTAGACCTCTGAGCAAGACTGCGTCAAAAAGAAGGATCATGCATGGAAATCAGTTACGAAATAAATTTCACTCTCCGTAACCATCCTCGCTACATTTGTGGCTCAGTCGTATCTGTTTGGTGTCCCATCATACCAAAGTAAATCATTATAATAGGCTTTTACCGAAAAAAATTGATATGACTGATACATTGAGAGCTACAGTTTGTCGAACTGTTTTTTAATGAGAGTTAAAAGAGTACTTTCAAGACTTCCTTAAGGAAATAAGTTCACTTCCTTAAGGAAGTGAATTTCCTTAAGGATGTGAATTCATCTAAAGGTTGCTTCTTGACGGAGTGTCTGTTATCTGTACGACACAGTGCTAGTCAACCTATGAAGTATGTTATGTCAGCCACTGAGCTGTCTGTGAAAGGTGTGCAATCATTAAGAGACAGAAGAAAAGAATAAGAAAACCCGCAAGGCCTTCTCTTGAGAGTGAAACTTACCGATATTATGGTGGATTCTCAAGAATCAAGAGCATATATTTTCAGTAAAAAATAGGCCCAGCGTTATTGGACCTTATAAGTCCTTTATGACTTCTTAAACGTGTTAAGGACCAACCATCATTTATCACCAGGGTTAAGGAGAGGAGGATTTTTCATTCTTTTCTCTGACTCCCCCCTACATCCACGTTCAATAATGACTTTTGCCTTATCATGTCTATTCCAGTGTCCATTCATGCTATAGTTTATCCAAGTATGATCTCTGCTCCAAAAAGGTTCATAAACGTCCCTATTGGTGAGACTGTGTCATTTAGGTGGCACTACAATTCAGGAGATCTAAAGAATGATCTTTTCGAGGTTGTGTTTGGTGTTTGGAAGAGTCCTGGCTTCCTGAAAACAAAGTTGATAGCTGTCAACTCGAGTGGTTTTGCCTCAACAAGGTCTTCATATAAGTCCTCCGTGGGTTGGGCAGGAAATTTGACATCCTCTGTCGCAGTGTTTGAACTTTACAATGTAAAACTTGAAGATGGCAAGACGTATGGAATAGTGGTAGAATACGGACTTCAGAATACCCCGTTGACCGACTCGGTCCAACTTCAAGTTGAGTCCAGAGGTAAGTAGTATCGTTCAAGACAGCACAGAGAATATTCGTTCTGACCTAAAATTGTATTTCAGATTACAGTGATTATGGTTCATTTGTGGCTTCCACGACGGGGTCCGCAGAAAAGAGGTATATGAAAGTATCTTCAATAGTGGCAACAATTGATAAGGTTGAAGGGAAATTTTTTTGTTCAGTCGGGATCAAAGTTGTAGTTCCTTTATCGGAAGGGTCCCTGAAATCGCAAGACCGCACTGGATTATCAGGAGAAATCGTCAAAAGTACTTCCAAGATCACTACGAATTGCGAGTATAATACCTTTTGCGGTAATTGCAGATTGTTGTTATTTCTTTTTCATAAATACAATTAAAACTGTTATACTACACGAGCTCTGTTACCTTAGTGAATGGACAAACATTACATTTAGTCACTGGATGATTGATCTAGACAATTTTGTTCCATTCCTGATCTGCCGAGAATTGAGGTAACCAACGTCAATAAACTGCCGCTGCGTCATAGGGGTGGTAAGACATTTTTTTAACATACTTTTCGGAAAAAAGAAGAAATAATTGAAGACCACAAGGAAGAGCGCAGTTTAGAAGATAACGTGTGTCGGGTGCGGAGATCTGGGGTCTAGCTGTTGAACTGATTCTATGTTCTCGACTCCTTTAAACTTCTTTACTCCACCAATTGTATTTCCGAAGTTTTAACACTGCCAGATATTAAAGTTGATTTTGCATAAACTATCATACACAGGTCCACCAGAAACCGCTATTCCACAACAGACAGATGTCTCCACAGTTACGAGAGCAACAAGTACATGTACAGGATCTCTAGATACATCGGAAGGTAATGTTCCTTTTTTTTTTGGTTTGCCCCCTCTAAGTTACAGTATTTTTGCACCAGTAAGCCTGTAGGTAAATTACAAGAGAATTACGGAAGAAACTTATTTTCTTTAGTAGCTTTTTATCATCTTAACAATAAATATTTCCCACAAGTCTAGAAGATATTAGCTCTACAGCTACACTGTGAATTTCGAGCATAAATAAAGTATATGTATGTATGTATGTATGTATGTACTCTACAAACCAACCGACCCCTTTTCAGGACCGGTAGCCTGAGCTGAGACTGCAAGTGATTTCACATATTACAAGTTCAAACACTTTATCAGTTACCATCCAACATGTAAGAATACTTTTACTCCTATTAATTAACCTTCAAACGGATCTTCATACTCATTTAGCCATCTACCCTTTTACATTATCTACTAATCCAACTACTACGGTTTAATCATCAGAGTTGTTGTTGTTCTTTCTTTTTTATGTCTGTTCTAGAACCCGGCGTTTCAGTGCCAAGAAAATCCTCGGAAGAATCCTCCTTTAAATTGGTGGTGGCATGTGGAATCATCGTATGTATTGTGATATCACCAATTGTGGGCCTTTACTTTCACCATCATAGAAAAAGCCCTAAAAATGGTGTAAACAATTATAGCTGCAAGACATTTCTTGTACATGACTAACCCTTATTCATTAAAAGCAACAAAAATGAATTCGGCGTTTGATCCTGGGAGATTCATGCTAAGAAATTAAAAGGTCTAAACACCGTGTTACTGCTCTAACAGCATCAGTTATGTTTAATGTAGCACGCCAAAAGTTTCAGATGTCGGATTCATTTCAATCGAACCAAACTCAGCGCGTTTGATGTAAATATAATTCCACCGAGCTGGTAGGTTTACTAATTCTAAATATCCGATTAGTAGTTCAAAACACAAGTGCGTTGTAAGGTGAACCAACTCAATGATGTAAATTACAATAATTTACAATTGATGATAAGTGTATAATGTTTCTTTCTTTCTGTTTAGTGACTCTTGAAAGTTTTCAAGCGATGATACATTTCTAAATGCTCGTGTTTCCCCTCTCTCTGATGAGTGTTTTCGAGCGATCTTACGGTCTGCGTAATCATTTCGACTTACTGAGTTAGTAAGATTAGGGCTGGGTCGCATTCCGGACAATTTTGCTGAAAATTGTTTTCTCTAGGGTCTAAAAGTTGTCAACACATCTGTTTTCTAATGCGACCCTCATTTGTGATTTTTCAAAATTTCAAAATCGGGAAAAACACCAAAGACACCGGTGTGCTTGGGTGGGGCTGACCAATTTTTCCAAATCTCGAAAAACCAAGGGAGCCTGCCGCTAAAGCTGTCAACAGTTGAAAAGAATGACTCCCGATATAGACGGCAAGGTCACGAACGCGAAAAATAGCGCGAAATTTCATCATTCACATTGACGTTTTCATTACGTGCAGTTCGAAGCTACAGAGACTACGGCCATCAAATGCCAAGAAGTGAGCAGTATTCCTTCCTTCAAGGGCCTGGGAAACACACCCCCAATTTGGCCTGTTGTGAGCGCTGAACAAAGAAAACCTGAGAGTCACTGTTACCCTTTTCGGCCGCATGGCAAGTGTCGTGACTGAACACAATTTCACCGCTCAAATTTCCCCTGTATGATTGACGCTTGCATTTTCGCTTGTTGAAATACAACCGTATAAGCTCAATGATATTTTCATTTCCGGTCTGATGCAATTTGTTTTTTCAGCCAATTTTTTCAAGTCAGAATAAAAATTGGTCTGTAATGCGACCCGGCCCTTAGGTAGGAGATCTAACTTTTTTATTTGGGGGCAAATTAATTCGTATGTAACTAAAATGTATCAATAGTGCGGAATGGTACCAAGCTAACATTCTATACACTTTTGTTGATCTTGTCAATGAAGTCAGGTTTTGATGACAGTACTCTACGCTTATCGAAAGTTTACCTAAAGTATTTAACCCCATAAGCACATCCGATACGATAATTTCTAATCGATCTCATCGTTTCCTGCTGACTGACTGCTTTATGTGTTTAATTCAAATGAAGTAATATTCATTTTGCATTAGTAGCATGTCGATTGCCAAAATTTTTTCTGGGGGTCATGTTACGGTATTACTGACCTAACCGACAGAAAAACACTACAATCCTACAAACTCGACTGCTTTATTAAACAGCGAGTAATGTTCTTGACAAGGAGTGACTCCTAAAGACAGTACAATACTTATCGTTGATAAACTTAATTAAGCACACCACAGCCTATTCTCCAGCTCACCACTGCCACAGTCGCACAGTTCACCAAAGTGAACTCAAAACTTCAATAATCCCAAGAGCTAAATGAGGAAAATTCTATAGATTTAAAAAAGTTCTATAGTGATGATTTTAGATATATGAAATTCATATATCTGCACTGCGGTGAATCAACCAAATTAAGAGATCCTTGCAGCTAAGAACACTACTGAACTAGTAGTTCAAAATAGGAACTGAAAAAAATTCAGGCCCGTACGGGATTTGAGCCCATGACCTCTGCGATACAGGTGCAGCGCTTTACCAACTGAGCTAACATGCCAACTGAAAGCTGGTCAATGTGTTGGGTCCTAATAAACCATTCAAGAGATGAATGATGATTTAAGAGATATGAAATTCATATATCTACACTGCGGTGAAGAAACGAAATTAAGAGATCTTCGCCGGGTTCAAAACCCGTACGGGCCTGAATTTTTTTCAGGTCCTATTTTCAACTACTTGTTCGGTAGTGTTCTTAGCTGCGAGGATCTCCTAAGTTCTATAGTGCTAAGACTTTCCAATTCAAAATAATGTACATAAACAATGCACTTATCCGAGTGAAAACTACAGCAACAGATCATGATCATGATGCAAAATCTAGCTTAGGCTTATCCGTAAGAATGAATCATTGGAGTTTGATTGGAAACAAATCTTATTCCATCTTTAATGAAAGTTAAGGTGATACGAAGATACGAAAACAACTTAAGTTATTATACGTGAACTATTTCTGGACGTCCGACATGCTTTACCTATTTTATTGGGAAGCACACCTTCTAGGCCAAGATTCACTCTGGCTGCAATGGTTTATTTTGCCAGAAATTTAGCGCTACTGAGTGTTATTTGGGATCAATATCAATAGCTGGGAACAGACCCTTATATAAAACTACCGTACAATTTTAACAAAACACCCCCCTTATATAACTCGCCAATGTTACATAGCGACTATTCAGAGGTACAATTAAAAATCCCTGGATGTAAGATACGAATCTAAGACCCCTGGATGTCACGAAAGCACTCACGATCGATATCGACATCTGCGCGCAGACCCCTAGATGTAAGATTTTACGATCGATATAAACATCAGGACACGGGTTTGACATGGATGTGACATCATATCACGTGATTTCTTGGAATCACAGGAAGCGTTTGAATCCTCAGGCTATTAATTATTACATTTCTCCGCCAGTGTGCTTTAGTTTCTGAAGAGGAAACGACTAAGCTTGAAAACCCAAGGATATACAGAGTAGAGCAGCATTTGATTATCTTGACGATGAAAGCACTTATAATTTTTATCCTTATCGTAGTTATTCAGTGCCTCACAGGTAAGTTTAACATGGATATGTCGTTTCGAATCTGTGTTGAGAATATCCACCCCACGTTGTACTTTGGTATAACCGAGCTTTTTGGCGGCGAACATTATTATGAGGAAACTGAAGACCACAAAACCCACAGATTCCGATATTCTAAAGTTGTTAAACACCTCTTCAGATAAGGACCAAGGCCTGCTGCTATCAGTTCCTCTTCACTAGCGAGGTACGGAGACCCACAGAGGTCTGATGGCAAACCAGGAAAGAGCGCTCGCACTACATCGTGCCGTATCGTGATAGTTTCGTTGCATGCTAGGGGCGGTTTTAAACCCTTCTCAAATAAAAGAGCTAGTCTCTCTCGGCATTCATCGGCGAGAAATGGATCGACAGATCTGTTCTCGAAGGCAGTGATGAGTTCCTCGGGTAAGTGCTCGGCTGGTTCCCATGTATTTTCACTCGGGGAGTAGCTTAGCCATTAGATGAAGTACTTTGCTCTGCCTCCTTGAACTCGTTTTACTACAATGCGTAACAGTAGGGTTTTACCCTCCGTATTTCGAATTAAAGCCACGATGGCGAACATCATTCAATAATGTTGCGTAAAAGCCCGACTGATGTCTCGCACGCTTCGACATGTTGTTGTAAATAGGTTTTAACTTCGGTCGGTATTTCGAATTAAAGCCACGATGGCGGACATCATTCAATAATGTTGCGTAAAAGCCCGACTGATGTCTCGCACGCTACGACATGTTGTTGTAAATAAGTTTTAGCTACTGATTGGATTGAATGAAACTGTGCTATTTATATATATCGCGCTCGCTATAAAACTGTGATTAGGCCATTTTTTCGCGCTCCTTATTCTCAACGATTATAACCTTCAATCAGGCGTTTTTTTGTTGCCAGTCCGCAACCGCAAACCTTTCGCACTCGAACTCCATATATAGGTTTTAAACCAATTAATTTTGCTTTCCTTCTCTTTGTTTTTACATGCGTTCTTAATTTTATTTTACATTTTTTCTTATTTTTTTCCGTTCCGAGTAAGATTTTTTTGTTTACATTGTTATTAGTATTAGGAACGATTAGTAAGCACCTTATCACATTATCGTGGTTCGCTTTCCTATCAATTTCAGCACACTAGAAAATCGGGAGAAAACATCGAGGAAAACGGAATGTTAGTTAGTGTCATGCTTGTGCTGGGAAACTAGTGTCGAATATCAAGTTTTCACCACATTAGCCGCTTCAGGAAAACACAAAACAAACACCGTGATAACCCACGCTGGATAACCAATGTTAAACGGTTAGGGAAACAGAGTGTACAAATGAGCTTTTTAGGCCCCAGAAAACATGTCGTGAACGCCATTTTTTTCTCGTGTTTTCCCATGCTGAATGGCCGAATATGCTGCTGTTCTCCGGCATTCACCGTTCTGGCATTCACCGTTCTGGCATCCACCATTTGGTAAAACTGTGGGCGAACGAGGTATTTTTTGTCGTGTAGTGGAAGACCACTCATGTATCACATATTAAAATACTTTGAATAGGCACATAAATATAAATAATGCATCACTTATTAGAATAGTTTGAATATTAACTTGGAAGGCGAGTCGTCGAAAGCTGCAGCCAAAGCTTTTATGGAAAGAAAGGTGGAAATTATATGAAAAGGTTCGTAGCTAGAACTTAAAAACGAAATCTCTGGGACTCTGATCATTTTCTTTGTTTTCTTTTATGTGAAATGTATCCGTTTCTCAGAAACTGTTCCACGCTGGCAATATCCTTTCTGAGAAGAGGCGGAACTGAAACTGATTTAAGAGGTTAAACATATCACAGGTAATATCATGACGGACGACGGTAACCTCGTTGCAGTTTAGCTGATAAATGGAACGAAAATTTAAGGATTTTGCAGATCCACAACTGAACAGAAGGCGTGGCTGTAGGCTTCTGAGCACGAAATACGAATATAAGACTCACTCAAAAACATTAAGTAATTTACGAAATATCTAAACCGTTGACGTGACAAGTAGGATCAACTGCAAATGTAGCTTACAGGCATCAGATTTGAGCAAGTCACCAATCACCAACAAATGACCTAGGTTGGAATTCATAAGAATCTTTTTTTTTTTTTTTTTTTCAAAATTTTTCGCTGTCAAAACGGTAGGCGAAATTAAGCCTTCGGAGCGTTGAAGTCATAAGAACACCTTCGATACGCCTTGTTGGCGGGAAAGTATGGGCAGACTAGGCCGGCTTTATCGATTTTTTGCTAAGCAAAAACAACTGGAACTTTCTAGTACCCATTTCGTGGTTAGTACCCTAAAATCAGCCTTCGTGCCAAATTTCAGCCAAATCGGTGAAGTCAAGTGGCCGCCAATTTTTGAAAAAGTTCGAATGTTACAGACTAATGCTCTAAATGAACTAGAGATGGAAACCGGAAGCAGCCTCTTCGACAATACCCATTTTATGTAATATCCTGCGCCAAAGTGATTTCTTATCCTGCTGAAAAAAAACAAACATCTACATGTATTTTCAAAACGTTATAGTGTACTTAAAAGAATTGTAGAGCATTCAAGGAAGAAGATTCAAGAGGCCACTTTTTTAAAAGATAAACTTTAAGCCAAGTAATACTTAGGATCTTAAAGTCATATGTATAACATTTATATGCATATATTGATGACAACATTTTTTATGCGTCTTAGCCGTCTATAGGCTTCTTACTTTTCTTGGTAACAAGACACACAACTGAAGAAACCTATTGAGATATCAATATGAATAAATACAAGAAAACATCATTGAATATATTTGTGAAGGAAGATGGGAAATTGTTTGTAGTAGTTTTCCTCATTCCTTTGTTCCAGATCTTCGTAGAATCAAAATAGCTACTATGATCAAAATGAGAGTTCTGTTATGCGGGTGAACGTACAGCTGGAAGAGTATGAATATTACACCAACGTGGAAAGTTACCCAGGGTTTGCATGAATAAATCAGATTATGCCCTAAGAGAAATTCTGAAGGATACTCTTAAAATCAGTTCCTTTCAAATTCAAATTTTGCAGCTCCGGTGGCAACTGCAGGAGATGTCTGTACTGATTCTGCAGCTAAAGTTACAGTCGATTCTGGGGTGGACGCAAAACTTTTTTACAACAGATCAAATCATGAAGATGACCAACATTTTCGTGGCTATCGTGCATACGCACATTCGTCCGTATTTGCATTCATGAACAAAACTGGATTAGATGGCGCTTGTACTCATCCAGTAGAGGAGATTTGTTTGAAGGGGAAGACCGAATTTAAGAAGGTGAACGAAAGCCTTTTGATGATAGAAATTTTCAATGTCGCTGTCAATGATGGTGGCAAGTACAAAGTCGTGGCCCTGTTCTCATATACACATAATGATACGGAAACAGAGAAATGCTTACAAGTACACCATCTAAATGTATCAGGTAAGCAATGGATATGCAAGCGTTTCTCGTCAGAAATATCAAGCAATCCTGAACAAAACTTAATAGTTTAAAAACTGGTATTGGGTTTACATTTCTCCACTTCATATCTTTAAAACTAAAATCCAGATTTTCAAGGGAACTTTCATGAAAAGTCTAGATCCCCTCTTCCGGATTTTAAAAAACTTTATCTAGATATTATGTCATTTTTAAACTTTGTGCTGGTGTATTGACGGGGCATCTTGAACTATAACTATAGAGCGCACGCTTATTTTCCTGCTACTGTTCCCAGTCAGAGAGCTAGGAGATATCTAAGGTTATCAACTATTTTATTCCCAAGTAACCACCATATTAAACTGCTTGAGACTTTGGTGTTGTTATTTTTTCGCAGTCTGTGCTTCAGATCTCTCAAAATATATTTCAAAGTCATATAATATTTACACTCTGTTCAGTTAAAGGAAAGGACATCTGTCTCCCTTGTTTCTTGAAACTGAGCATTTCTACCGCGGAAATCTACTTTTCAAATAATTGCGTAAACTGCGACTGCCCAGCATGGTTTATTTATTAATCGTGAATCAATGATCACGCTGTATATCTACTACCTAAATCCTTCTAAATTCGTATGTTAAATGCACAATTTGAAATATTATCATTCATGTTTTAGATAACAGCACAGAAACCACGACAACTCCAGTTCCTCACTCGATTAAAGTCTACAGCCCCAGCAGCAGCTCAGGTAAGCGTTGCTAGGGGGAGTAGTCACTTCCAGTCTGTAACACACGGTGTTATTGACGACTTATCCAGTTCAACTGAATTAATAATGTAATTGGCCACCATTAAGAGAGTCAAATACTGACGTCTCGACCATCAGCCGCTCGTCAGAGCGAATCAATAGCTAGGTATGAGCTTCACATATACGGACGACAAGCCACGCTAAAACTAATTTTACTCTATGTAAACCCTAGATTAACTCCCGAGTTTACATAACTCCTTGAGCATGGTTTATTTATTAATCATGAATCAATGATCACGCTGTATATCTATAAATATTAAATTCTACTAAATTCGTACGTAAAATGCACAATTTGAAATATTATCATTCATGTTTTAGATAACACCACAGAAACCACGACAACTCCAGTTCCTCAATCGACTAAAGTCTACAGCTCCAGCAGCAGCTCAGGTAAGCGTTGCCAGGGGGAGTAGTCACTTGCAGTCTGTAACACATTAGTAATTGGCCGCCATTAAGAGAGTCAAATACTGACGTCTCGACCATCAGCCGCTCGTCAGAGCGAATCAACAGCTAGATATCAGCTTCACATATACGGACGACAAGCCATGCTAAAACTAATTTTACTCTACGTAAACCCTAGATTAAGTTCCGCGTTCGCATAACTCCTCGAATGTTTCCCTGTCGTCCAGATGAACTATGTAAGCGCGAGACAAGTCCTCTAATGCTGAAATATAAAATACTCTGCTTCTTATTTTGCATTTCTGGTGTTCTTATTGTTTCAAGCAATTCCTGCTATCATTTCATAATTCTCCCAATTTATTTTCGGTTGGAAGTGAACGTAACGCTTCCTGGGGCAATAAAAAAAGAAGTAAAATAAGTAAAAGTAAATGTCATCTCGGTAACAATAATAAAAGCCACAAATTTCGATATGGCTCTTTCAAACAGTGAGAAGTCTTAAAGGTTTCTCCTAAAAGTAAATGTCATCTCGGTAACAATAATAAAAGCCACAAATTTCGATAGTCTTTCAATACCAACGAACTTAAAAGTTTCTCTTAAAATCGATAAAAAACCAGCTCTAAAAGTCCGCTTTATAAATTTACCAACGACTCTTAAAGTTACAAAATCTTACCTATTGAGCAACCATAATGGATTCCTATACGCTCGCTTCCTCGCAGAAATACAGTCGTGAACATGCAGAACGCCTCTGGATAGGCTTGAAGTTTTGGGACTGAACCGAATACTTGTTTATCAGTGTTAATATTTAAGATACCTGCTCATAAATTAGGACACGACTAGTTTCTCTGTCAACTAAGGTCTACAAAAAAAGGGAAAATACCAGTAGTGAGTGGTTCTGTCAAAAGCTTTTTCTAATCTTTTGCGTACTTACTTCTTGTATATCATTCTCACCTACTGACTTACTCTCTAACGTGAATATTGTATCTTTTGTTTTCCAGGTCCTGGCGGGAAGAAGTTAGGGATTGTACTAGGAATTGCGTTACCTATCGCATTGCTCATAATTGCCCGTTTGCTGTATCATTTTATACGTCGTCAAATGGCTATACGCACAACTAGAAATGAATATACACAAACAAATTGAGTAAATTTCGTGCCAATTCCGTAAAAAAACACCTTTTTTTATAGACCCTTAGAGAGGGGGGCATTGGGGCTTATAAGAAACCGCAAAACCATAGAAAAAAATAATCTAAAACCAAAAAACCGAAAAAAAAAACGATCAAAATCGAAAACAGCATGCAAAAATGTCAAAAACGATACATTTTCATATTCCAGTTATTAACACTCTGATCGATCCGAAACAGTGGTGACAAGTGGAATATACAGAGTAAACTACACCAATTTCATTACAGAATTTATGAATGCCATGGACTTGGCATTCGCATCTTCTATTATCTGCTTAAATTAACAGCTGCACTCTCGAGGACCTTGAGTGTGGTCTCTGCGGACTCAGCGGCTGGTCATAGAGCTTAGTTAAATTGAGGAAATTCGCACAAAAGTCCTCTATAGGATTGCAATTTTGCAGTCGCAAAAAGCTATAGCTCTGGAAAGTTTCATCGAAAATCCCTAATCTAACATTTCCATTTGCGAACTAAGGCCTGAAAGTTTGGAAATTCTACTGGAATGTTGAATCAATCAGTCACGTGTGGCCTGTAACTTGGTTACCAACTTCGAGGTGGCGTTGATAAAGAAACTCTGGCCATGTTCCGTACTTAGCCGTACCCTACGTGTAGCCGTACCCTCCCCTCCCCGCCACCATAGGGGAGGGGAGGGTACGGCTACACGTAGGCTTCCTAGGGATCCTTGCGATTTGGTTTGTCACGCATTCCTCTTGATAACATCTGCGTTTAGCGGCTATTCGAGATAAGCGGAGGTGCGTAATTGCCACTCAGATCGAAGAGGAAACCAGAACCCAAATAGGTCAAATAGGAAAAACCGAAAACCGCATAGGATATCAAATCCGAAAACCCATTAGTATTTTTCGCGAAAACCGAAAATCAAATGCTGAAAAACGGAATATGCGCAAACTGCAATGAACACCAAAACCGAAAAACCGATCTAAAAATAGCCAAAACCGCAAAATCGAAAATCTCAATGCCCCCCTCCTTAAAGAGGGTGACTTCAAAGCAACACTATCTAGGAAGGACGCGAAAAATATATTTATTTGTTGATGTTTATTTAGAAGTGCAAGAAAGCAATCGATTTCAATCCGGTTCTCTCAATTCGAAGTAGGACATATATATATATTTTTCGATAAATATTGCGAAATGGCGGTCCACTTAGAAACCAACTATTGTTGTCCTTGATATAGAATTTTCAAAGCCACCGTGTATTGAAACTACTGAAATGTGGCATAGATTTATTTTAAATTCACTCTCCATTCATTAGGCCTTAAAGGCTTTCACTACAGGGTAGGGCAAATGTAAGATAAAAAGGAGACCTTTTTTGGTATTTATAATTTTTTAATATTTCTTTGAGATAGTTCATAGGACTGGCAGTATATTAGTTAATATTTTCTTCTTTTGTAGTGGGACTAAGTTGTTTGTTTTCCAAATATCAAAATTTGATCTCATTGAATTTATTATATTTATTTTTCTCACTCGCATTCATTTATTTGATCATAGAACAAAGGGATGTGACGAACTATATATTGTATTTCTTGCTTTCTTAACAGATGGGTGTAACTACTACTTTTTTAATTGTGTGGGTTTGTACCATTTGATAGTTTACCTACATTATTGTAAATCATAGAGCGATTGAGGATCACTGACCAAATGTTGTGGAATTTAATTTATTATTGACTGGTTTTAGTAAGATTGCTAAATTGCTGTATTCACTTGATGAGTGTTTCCAGAATTTCTGCGACATCGAGTGGCTGGGTGTTTACGGAATTTCAGCGACAACCAGTGACTATTTGGTCGCAGAATTTCTGCGACAACTTGTGATTTAATAATCACTCAGTCGCGGCGACATCCAATGGCTGAGCGATCGCAGAATTTCTGCGACAACATGGTACTAAGTGATCGCAGAATTCTTGCCACAAGTGACTGAGATGTCGCAGAAATTTTCTGCGATATCTAGTGACTGAGTGGCTGCAGAATATCTGCGACATCCAATGACTGGTTGCAGAATTTCGGTAACATCCATTTACTGAGTGGTTGCAGATTACCTCTGCATCTTTCAATGGTTGACTCTTAACACATAGTTTTTTATGGACATGCTCATTCATGCAGAGGAAATACGATTTTAAAATCTTTTTGAAAATTTTTTTCTGCAAAATGTGATTACTTTTACTAGTTTTCCTAAACATGCATGGAAAACTATAGATTTAAAAAAAATAGGCTATTCGGAAAACACAAAATAGTCTGGAAAGCGTTTTCATTAGCCCTCCATGGCGCTATAGAATGATACTGAATCTACATAACTTGCACAGAAGAAAATGCATCATCTAATAGATAAGTCTTTAGCTTAGTTTTAATCAATGCTATCGGTAATGATTGCCTTAATATAATTTCAGTCCATGCGGCCACCGAGTATGTCCCATCCTATACTCATACATTTTAAGCTTTCAAGGAACCGGCTGTTTTAGGATCTTTCCTCATGACTTGAACTCTTACTAACTCACGTAATCCTTGATGTAGCTCGGTGCAAGTCCACTCATAGTGCTAGAATAATGTCTTGATCATGTTGATTTGGTTATGTCAATGTGCAATTTTAGGAATATTTTGTTGTTAACTATTAATCATTAAATACATTGATCAGGATCATTGTTATGTTATGCAACTGTTGCAATATCAGAGCACAACTATGTGCAAGTACATGTTTTAAAATAGCACCATTTTATGCGGCGGATGCATCAGATGTTGAACTTGACGACAGGCTCTAGAATGGAGACAACGTCTTAAGCCATTTTAATCTCACCTGCCCAATCCTGAATATCACGTGATTTCCCGGAATAATGAGAAGCTTTTGAGTCCTCATATCAAACTCATGGGGTACAAATAGTCTTAACATGAATATAGCGCCACGCCCAGTTCAACGCCCCACTCAAATCGAGTGTAATTTTCGAATATTTTACCATCGTGCGAATTCTCTACGGAAAAAGCACTCAATGTACCTCTGAAATTTTAAACTATAATATTTTGGCTTTCTATTTCGCTAATTTTCTAACTTGAAGGTAAAGTTTTTCCCCCGTCATTTTTACCTTTTCTCCGAGCGGTTGCGTGAAATTAACAAGGCGTTTTTGATCAAAACACAACCAAGCGAAGGGTCTCAAACGATATTTCTTTTACGCAGGCGCGAATTAAAAATGTACCGCCAGAATCAAAAAGAGTAACAAATTTCCTTTGTTTTGATATGTAAAGTGTCGAACAAAAAGCAGATTTACCCTCGTCAAATGGCGTTTCAAAACAGCTGTATCTTCCTCCTTTTGATTTTTTCCTGTTTTGTAAGCGTGAAAGCAGTAGGAGAGGGATCTGGAAAATCAGAGAGCGCTTCGGGAATTAATCTGCCATCGTTTACTTACGAGATAAACAATTAAGATTTTTGAAGTTTGTCGCAGTATGAAGTCTAAATAAATGCCTTTTCTAAGCTTGTTGGCTGTATTTTTCGTAAACTTCCCCGATTAATTTTTCGTTTCAGCTTACTAATCTATACTATTTCAAAGCAATGTAAAGACGAAGACGGAGAAAACCATGAGTCGGTCCTTTCAACAATCGTAAACAAAGTGTTTGAGCAATCAGGTATACGAGGTGTAATAATCAATAGCCGCATTTCAGAAGTCTTCAGAAAGAAAATATTCAGCCTTCAGAAAGCTGTCAAGAAAGCTACTAATCGTGGCGGAAGGCAATTAAATGCACTTCTTAGCAATTTGGAAGCGGGCCCTCGGTATCGATTTAAGGTGTATTACAACGAGGTTGATGTGCATCAGCTTAAAGATGAGAACAGCCAGTTAAGGGGAGAAAAAAGAAAATTAGAAGAATCGTTGGTACAGGAGAAGGCAAAGCGATTGCGAGTGGATGAAAAAGCCCGAGAAGCTCTCGAGAAAGCTGAGAAGAAAGGGGCCTTCTATAAGAAAAAATTTATTCAATTGGCCAAAAAAGTGATTAAAAATGGGAAAAAAGGTAGAGGCCCTGCTAAGAAGAAGTTTAATGACTATTCTAAGCACCATCAAAAGAGAATTAAAACCAACTGAAGGACGAGTGCCAAACTACACTCTCTTTTTTTTGGGCTGTACAATTTTGTTGCAACCAAAATTGAAGTCCTCAACACTGAGACTAATCAATATGAAACTTTCAATCTTGTTGAGAGGAGAGCTACCATTTACAGAGTCTGACCCAAAGGCCCTTGATAATGATGACATTGATAACATAAATATGTGGCTCTACCTCAAAGATAAATTCAATATTTCAAACGAGGCCTGGCATGAAATTGCCATTAAGGCTAATGGTCTCCCCAATACATATTCCATCAAGAAGCGAATTAATGAGCTAAACAGTAAATGGAACTTGAAACCAACACCAGGAGATGCTGAAGGTGTTCAGTTAGGATTTGCAGAAAGTTTGCAAGAGCACATTGTTAGGCTTCAGAAGAATGGAGAAATTAATGATGGGGAAGCTATTAAGATCAAGCTTAGCAGTGATGGTACAAATATTGGAAAGCGGCTTACAGTTGTCAACGTCACATTTACTATTCTCAATGAAAAGGATGTGGCAATGGCTGAGAAGGGAAATTATGTACTTGCTGTTATAAAAACTACAGAGACATATCATAATCTGAGAGACAGCCTAGCAGACCTTCAAATGGAAATGTCAAACTTAAAGGAGATAAGTGCAAATAATTGCACCTATAAAATTGAATACTTTTTAGGTGGAGATTTGAAATTTTTAGCACTGGTATGTGGTTTAGGCAGGGCAAATGAGGATTATGCTTGTGTGTGGTGCAAGTGTCCCAGGGAGCAACGGTGGGACACAAGCAAAACATGGTCAATTAATGACCCCAAATTTGGTGCTAGAACTGTTGCCGAAATAGCAAGGTTTTCCACTGAAAAGAAATTCAACTGTAAGGCACAACCATTATTTGATTTTATACCTATGGACCATGTCATCATAGATACATTACATCTTTTTCTGAGGATTTCAGATGTTTTGATTGACTTGTTCATAAGAGAGCTGAGAAGAAGTGATGCTATTGGGAAAAAAAAAACCTTCTCTGATGGATTCCCAAGAGATAAATATAAACACATGGCCTGTTACGAAGAATATATCACAAGTATGGGAATCACTTTTAATTTTAGAATCAACAAAGAGAGCAAAAAGCTGGAATATAGAGATCTTACTGGACCAGAAAAGTTGAAACTCTTTCAGAATATAAACATTCCTATGCTTCTCCCTCATTGCAGTCACAACAAAGACATACAAGTGATCTGGGCTAAATTTATGGACATAATTGGTGATTTGAAGCTAGATTTTACATCTGAAGAGGGTATTCTTGAACTGCGAAGAAATATCAAATCATGGTTTGAGCACTTTCTCAAAGTTTACCAAGCAAAAGATGTCACTCCCTACATGCATGCACTATGTTGTCATGTTCCTGAGTTCCTGTCACTTTATCAGAACATAGCATATTACACACAGCAAGGCTTGGAAAAATACAATGATAGAGCTTCTAAAGATTTCTTCAGATCCACAAATCACAAAGGGGTTGATGCCCTCAAACAACTGTTTCTGAAGAAAAACAGGATTCAGTTCCTGGAGGCAGCAGGCTATGAAAGGGTTAAGAACACCTACAAATGCAATAACTGTTCAAACAAAGGCCACAACATCAAGACATGCACATCTTCATGCAAAAATTGTCCAGCTCCAATTTGCTGTGCACATCTTGTGAAGGAAGGTGGCAAATGGATTCCCAGATGCCAGCTTCAATATTAACCAGAGTTAGTTTAGTTTTAGTAAGTTTCGTTAGTTTTATATAATAAAATATGTCATTTGGTTTTTGAGGAAGGATTTCCTGACCTGATCTTGCCTTAGTTTGATCATAATGTTACTCAGGATCAAAACATTTAATACTTCTAGTACCCTTAAATATCACCTTTAATTTCTTTGCCAAAATAGGTCATTTTACAGTTTATTCAGTAACCTGGCCCATGAATTAACTAGCCTGTATTAACACAAGAAAAGCAAAGGGGTTTGTATCAAAACAAGGTCACCAGCAACCTCACTTCCAGCTATAAGCCAGGTGACTCTGTAAAATAATGTAACTGTAAAATAATATTGGAACTTTTGATTGTGAATCTCAAGTTTTTGGCCAAGATGCTACACAGTGTTTTAACAATGGATTGTTATTTCATCTGTTGGCATGGTAGTTGTTCCTGTTACCATCACCTCTCACAAACTGAAATGTAATAAAGTTGCTGTTTTCAACTTCTGTTCTAGCATATTGTTCCCCGATGAGCTTGTATTCAATGATTGGACTTCTTTGTCCCAGCCAATACTTAATAGTTCCTGGAATTACATAGGCAAAATCTCCAGCTAGATTTAAAATTCGTTCATCCCACTTCAGCCCCAGATATGAATCAAGCACCCTATTTGACTCCAATTGGTAAACCATCTTCCCTCTTTGAAAAACGCCGGGCAAAACACTCCCAAGACCTTCCATGAAAACATCTTGGTCAACATTAAGGTCTATGTTTATATCAGGGTCCTCTCGCCGTCCAGACCAAAGCTTTTTCTTTATTTCACGAGCAAGTTGGCCATGGAACGATTCTTTTCTATCCTCTAGAGAGCTTTCCGATGGAATGAACAGCTTTTCGCTGCGAACAAACGGAAAGTATCCTGATCCTCCATCGGCCCCGAAGGGTCTCCATTCATCGAAGCATGTGCTATAGCCAACGTAATGAATTTTCAACCTCTTGTTGATTTTGTCAACCTCCCTGATCTCAATATCATACAGTTTTGTATCTTTCTTTCGTGGATTCGCCTTTCTAACGGGGGTGTATGTTGCGTATTCATTGAAAAATCGCTTTACTTTTTTTATTTCCCTCTTTGGCCTGTCCGCCATTTTGAAAATTCGCAACGGAGAGCTTACGTATTACGTGGGGTTAGTGGTCGCGTACAACTGGAACCGAGAAAAACAAATGTTCGTCGCGCTGGGGAAAGAGTTTGATATGATGCCATGAATTACTCATGGCGAAGTCATATCTTCGTTTGAATTTCTGGATTTTTTAACTTTTGAAGCTTGCTGCTGCCGGCGTGCATTCCGAATCTTTTTGCTTAGTTTTGAAGAGGGAACAACTAAGCTTGAATACCCAAGGATATGCGAAGTAGAGCAGCATTTGGTTATGTTGACGATGAAAGCATATATACTTTCGATCCTTATCGTAGTGATCCAGTGCCTCACAGGTAAGTTTAACATGGATTTGTCGTTTCTGTGTTGAGAAATTAAATACTATTGAAAATATTATCCACGCTACGTTATACCTTGGAATAACCGAGCATGTTGGAGAACATTGTCATGAGGAAACTGAAAAATACAAAACCCACAATTTTCGATATTCTAAAGTCGATTGCGGAGCGAATGATTAAATATTCTTAAAAACCTGGTTAGACTGCATTTTACCATTCCCTCTCTTGGACACAAAAGATGTTACGAACTGCAGGCAAATGACGGAAAACTGCGATCAAGGCGGAAAATGCTAATTTGGTCGGTGTATATGTGTATGTTGTTGTGAGGCGGAACTCTAGTGAAAGTGAAAGTAACAACACGGCACTTTTTCCACTTTGAGTGCGACGCTGGTTTACTAACAAAGCAAATATGGAAGTTAAATGGAAATAAGCGAAGAAAGCCGAAAGCGAATATCGCTAAACGCGGATACAAACACCCCTTCAATTGTTGTTTTATATTTCGGTCGAAAGTTTTTTATCGTAGTACACCGTAAAAGGGCGATAGAAATGTTTTCGAAGTCATATAGGTACCGAAACAAATTCTGGCTTGAGAAGACAGTCAGTGCTTTTAATTTCGTATGCATGAGTTCCAAGAAAGTACCATCGTAAACAACTGTTATACCTGGAGCGAATGGATCACCGCAGACGAATTAATAAGGTTCAGATTCTTAGAAAATTTCTATTTTTGGACGGTTCATTGACTTGTTTACGTCTACGAGTGCATTTTGGAAAATCAGGAATCGTGGAATCTGTATATGGCCGTCTGGAAATGGAACCGATCCAAAAAAAATATAGGCTTTTCTTGCTTTCTTTGATTAAGAAAGTTTGTCAGCTCCACTAAGAAAGCGACTCAAGTTTCTTTACCTTAGGGAGATGTTGTGATTTCACTTGATTGTCCAAAAAGTTAAATTTTTAATCAGAAATGTCAAGCCAGGCCAGTTATTTTCCCAACGGTAAGAATTCAAGCAAAATCCTTCAAAGAAGAATGGAAACGCTGTTCATTTTTCCGGCCAGGTTGGTCGGTTCTGAATTTTTTTAATTTATAAACGCCAAGAAATCTTTGGAATTTAGAAATTGGACAGAAACTTCCGATAGAAATAGTGATGAAAACTTTACAATAAAGGAGACGTAGAGTATTGTAGCAAACGGTGTCATAGTGGGTATTTACGAAACTTTTTCCTGAGCTACATCCGTTAGGATTGATTCCGTTTGCCACTGCTGATTGGCTGCAACGTGGGTTGCTTCTGATTGCCTCTTTCAGACAAACCAAAAATAGACTATGATGCTCATCCTTATTCCTGGAATATGAGCAAAATGATCCCATTTGGCATATTCCGCGTCTATTTCATTTTATATCTAGCCTGGTTCGTTAGAGTTGTCGATAAACAATTTTGTCTCTCTTAAATTGGATTAATTAAAGCCGCGATGAAGAAACCTTCGATACTTTATATTTTTTATCTTGTGATTCACTGCGTCACAGGTAAGCCAAACAGTTCTTTGCGTGGGAGTTGAGGAGTTTCTGAACATGATTTATTGCTGGCCAATTAAAAGTCCTACCTCAGTGTCCAAAACGATCGTTGGACAGAAACCTGAAGAACAGAAGAAGAATGTTATATTTTAAGTATTTGTCAAACCACGTTTTATCAATGAGCAGGTCAAAAGTCCTACGCAAAATGCTGGAACGACAGTTTAGATGGACGATGTTTTTGCAAATGAACTGTGAAAATTAATGCGAACTTCATCACTTTTTTAGAAGAATTGCAAAGCGTAGGTCGTTAAGCTAAGAAGTGAAGCTAATAAATTAATATGCAGGGGGAATATGCTTATGCAGGACATTTGACAGCTATGGCACGCCTTTTAATCAATATTTAAAGTATTTCAATATGTGATGCATTATTTATATTTCTTTGCAGTTTTTTGCTATTTCCTTTCTATTTGTTTTTTAATCCGGCTCTTAAATATTTTATTTCTATTCTTATTTATTCATATATAGGTGTTAAGCCAATTGATTTTACTTTCATTTTCTTTGTTAGTTAGTGTGCAGCACCTGATCACATTACCGTGATTTGCTTTCCTAGCTCTGATTTTAGAACAAAAATGACTGATGAAACTTTAAGAGATAGAAACGACATTGGTCATTACAACTTCGCAGATTCGCTTTGTACACACTTAATTGGTATTCAGAATATGAACGCACATGATGTGTCTACTGATTACTTTGAAGGGGCTAACTTGCGTCCGAAATAGGCAAACTTAACTTAACTTCTCAGTGATGACTCCGTCCTTCAAGATTTCAAGACAACTGTCATAAACTACTCAAATTGTTCAGACTAAATGTTTGGGGATTATTCAGGTTAGAGAGATTATCTTGGAATTCTTGTGCGAGTCTTGTGAGCCTTAGTTTGTCATGTGCTGCACGGCCCCACATTGACTCTTTGAGTGTTGTGCCCTTGACTGTTGTAATTAGGGCTTAATTCTCGTATAATAATCGCCATCGCTAGTCGTGTTTGGGTTTGTTGAGGTTTTAGTTCTCGAAGATTGGTTGGTGTTACGTACTTTGTTATTCGTTTTGAATGTCTTGTGAGATTGTTTTGGTTAGCATTCTAAAAATACGTTTACTCTTCCAAGGTAAGTTGTCTCGTAAGCCAAAAACACCAACCGATAAGGTATTTAAGAGCGTGTACTTAGGGCTGAGTCAAGGGAAAAGAGACGTAAAGTTCCTGAACAAAATCCCGGGGCCTTGCGTTTGCGCGAGTTGCTCAAGTTAGTTAACCGAACTGTCTTACGTACTATATTATAGAAGCTGTTTTGACAAAAGTGCGCTTTGTTTTTCATGTAATGACAAGTTACGAGCAGGCTCTGATAACGCAACGACGTCAAGTTCTTTCGATAACCTATCAGGTAGTGGAAGGCCGCTTATGTATCACATATCAAAATACTTTGAATAGGCACAGAAATACAAATAAAGCGTCACATACCAAAATAGTTTGAATACGAACTTGGAGGGCGCGCCATAGAAAACTTCAGCTAAAGATTTTATCGCTTTATCTTCTAAGCAAAATGCATCCGTTTCTCAGAAATTGTTCCATGCTGGCGGTATCCTTTCTGAGAAAAAGCGGAACTGAAAATATGATTTAAGAGTTTAAATGTATCACAGGTAATATCGTGACGAACCACGGTAACCTCGTTGCAGTTGAGCTGATACACGAAACGATTTGTATCGAAAAAGTAGGTTAATTTGGAAATTTGATGATTTGGCAGATCCACATGTGAACAGGAGGCGTGACTGTAGACCTCTGAGCACGATTGCGTCAAAAAGAAGGGCCATGCTATGGAAATCAGCTACGAAATAAATTTCACTTTCCGTAGCCATCCTCGCTACATTTGTGGCTCAGCCGTATCTGTTTGGTGTCCTACCATACCAAAGTAAATCATTATAATAGGCTTTTACTGAAAAAAATAATTTATATATGATTGATTTATTGAGAGCAACTGTCTCTCGTAATGTTTATTAATGGGAGGTGAAAGAGTAGTTACTTCTTGACGGAGTGTCTGTGACTCGTACGACACAGTGCTAGTCAACCTATGTAGTATGTTATGGCCAGCCACTGAACTGTCTGTGAAAGGTGTGCGATCATTAACAAAAAGAAAGAAAAAAAAAACCCGCACGGCCTTATATTAAGATATCTACCGATATCATTGTGGATTCTCAAGAATCAAGAGAACATATTTTCAGTAAAAATAGGCGCAGCGTCATCGAACTTGATAAGTCCTTTATCACTTCTTAAATATTAATCAAGCATTACGTAGGGACCAGCCATTATTTACCACCAGGGTTGAGGGGGGAGGAGGATTTTTCCTTCTTTTTTGAGGGGGAGTCACAACGTTTTCAGTGGGAGCCGAGGGGGGATCAGTCGGGGCCAGCAGGGTTTAAAGGAGGGATTGGAGGAAATTGAAAGCTAATGAATGGGGGGTTATTCAAATAAGTTTTATCGTGACACAATCAAACTTCTCCGACCCCCCCCTCCCCCCATCCATGTTCAATAATAACTTTTGCCTTATCATGTCTATTCCAGTGTCCATTCATGCTATAGTTTATCCAAGTATGATCTCTGCTCCAGAGAGGTTCATAAACGTCTCTATTGGTGGGACTGTGTCATTTAGGTGGCACTACAATTCAGGAGATCTAAAGAATGGTCTCTTCGAGATTGTGTTTGGTATTTGGAAGAGTCCTGGATTCCTGAAAACAAAGTTGATAGCTGTCAACTCGAGTGGTTTTGCCTCAACAAGGTCTTCATATAAGTCCTCCGTGGGTTGGGCAGGAAATTTGACATCCTCTGTCGCAGTGTTTGAACTTTACAATGTAAAACTTGAAGATGGCAAGACGTATGGAATAGTGGTAGAATACGGACTTCAGAATACCCCGTTGACCGACTCGGTTCAGCTTCAAGTTGTGTTCAGACGTAAGTAAAATGGTTCAAAACAGCACAGAGAATATTCGTTCTAACTCAAAATTGTATTTCAGGTTACTTTCATTATTGTTCATTTGTGGGTTTTATGACGGGGTCCGCGGAAAAGAGGTTCGTGAATGTATCTTCAGTAGTGGCAACAATTGATAAGGTTGAAGGGGAATTGTTTTTGTTCAGCTCTGTTACCTTCGTGAATGGTCAAACAGTTCATCTAGTTACTGGAAGATTGATCTACACAATTTTGTTCCTGATCTACCGAGAATTGAGGCCTCCACTGCGCAATAGGGGCGGGAAAATTTGTTTTTGTCAAACTGTTCTTAACACCTTTAAACTTCTTTATTCAACCGATTGTATTTCCGAAATTTTAACGCATAAATTATTAGCCACAGATTCACCAGAAACCGCTGCTCCACAAGAGATAAGTGTCACAACAGCCGCGAGAGCTACAAATACAGGGTCTCCAGTTACGTCGAAAGGTAATGTTTGTATCCTGTTGGTTTTCCCATCCTAAGTTACAGTACTTTTGCACCAGCAAACCTGTAGGTAAATTACACAAGAATTGGAGATCAAACTTCTTTTCTTTAATAGCTTTTTATCTCCTTAATAATATATGACCCATCGCTACAAACCTACCGACCCTTATTCAGGACCAGTAGCCTGAGTTAAGATTGCAAGTGATTACACACATTACTAGTTCAAACATTTCATCAGTTGCCATCCAACACATAAGAACACTTTCATTCATATTAATTAACCTCCAAACGGACCTTCATACTCATTTAGCCATCTACCCTTTTACATTATCTGCTTACCCAACTACTACAGTCAAATCGACAGAGTTGCTGGTTTTTTTAATTTCTGTTCTAGAGCCCAAAGTTTCAGTGCCAAGAAAATCATCAGAAGAATCCTCCTTTAAATGGGCGGTGGCAAGTGGAATCATCTTATGTGTTATGATAATACTCATTATGGGCCTTTGCTTTCACCGTCAGAAAAAATGCACTAAAAATGGAGCAAATAATAACAGCTTCATTGAAAGCAACGAAAAGGAATTTTGCAAGTGTATTTTGTAAATATATCATACTCAAGGTAGTAGATTTACCAATTCGTAATATCCGGTCATCTTATAATATATAGTTAGTTGTGTTTTAAGGTGAAGTTAATCAATGATATACATTACTTCAAGGATTTAAACATTGCATAGAAATTTAAATCGACACTAAATGTATTTCTACTAGATGCGACCTTCCCTTTTTTTTGTTTGCGTAGTCATTTCGACTTATTGAATTACAATCTTAAAGAACAGCTCGAAGTTTTCTGTTTAGAGGTGGTTTCTATAAATTTGACCTTTCCTCGGAAGATTTTGTGACTCTAAAATGTCAAATATAATCCTTTGCTTTTAATTTACTTATCAATTATAGCCGATTTTCAACGTAGCTGTAAATGATGTTGCAATGAATAAATAAACTGATTCCTTGAATCCTCATGAAGTAATGTAAACTTTTTGCTGTCATAGCAACAGCTGCGCTAACTTATCTAAGGAAAGATTTAAAACAAAGAAGACAAACAAAAGAACTTGCAGCCAATGATGCTTTTTCCGATCCCAGCAGGAGGGAAGGAGTCGTGAATAAGCTAACGTAACCGTAGGAACCACTTGGTCTTCGACTTCCAGGCCTGATGAGTTCGAGACGAATTTGATTAGGCTCAGATAAAGTATGCTTGGTAGAGTGAGGACTAGAGCTGTTAAAATGTTTATTTTGACGGTCAAGTGTTGTTGTGATGCTCAAAAATATATCGTCTGTAACGGTCGCAGACGAAAGGCCAAAAAGGGAATGAAAGCAATTTATAGTTCATTACGCTTGGCACTCCCTTTACCCAGGCTATACGGATGTATATAAAAAATAGCTATTGACGCTTAAATAAGGTCTGGAAAGTTTCCGCGCTGCTGAGGTTGATCTTTTAAGTGTCGAGTACCTGTGACGACCTTGAATTAGCTTTAACAATGTTTTGCCGAAACACTACAGCTATTTATAACTGTCACAAACAGGCAAAAATTCAAATTTCAGCTTATGGCCCGCAGTCAAGAAATTCACTTTCTGTTGGTAAATTGAGTGACATAGATGCCAAGATTTTCTTCTACCAGCTTCTTTCGAGACACTCACAAGCAATTGACGCTGATATATAAATAGGTTCTTTCTGGCAACCAATGAGCATACCTTTGAGACGAGTGACCAGAAATGAGTTTGAAAAGTTTCGATGCATAATTTTCGTTTTCTTAGGTTGCTTGACCCCAAAGGCTAGTTTTAAAATAGAGTTACACACAACTGGCGAAACCAGCTTTCAAGTACTTAATTTGGGTTTTGGGATATTGTTGCGGTGATGTAAAAGAACTTTCGATGCGACAGAGACCAGGTTAGAAATAATGGTATAATACCAAATTGAACTACCAAGGATGTGTCTTGCGTTTCTGTGTACCTCAGGCGAATTTACATAATCCTCTAATTTTGGGTTTTGGGATATTTTTCGTGTAAGGCAGAGGAACTTTCGATGCGAAAGAGATCGAACCGAAAGGTGAATTATCTTTCTCAGAATTATGGCGTATTGCCCACTTTCTAAAATCATGCATGAATGATCCTTAACTGCCGAGTTTGATAATTATCATGAAGCAAGTGGCCTAAGAGCATTAAGCAGAACTTTATCTTATCGTTTTGAAGCGGAAGAACTGGATGGAAAGTGAAACTGCATGGTTTGCAATAACGAACCAAGCGAAGTAAGTGAGCGAATCGGCCGACATCACGCTTTCATTATCTATTTTAAAATAGCTTGCGAGAGCAGACGCCTTCAAGAAGTTTCAGCTCAAGGCTTAATTGCAAAAATCTTCGTAGCAATAACAAAAAATTTCATCGAAGTTCGTGCATCAAGATGTTGCTGAGAAATTTTGGCGTGAGTACAACCTCATGCCGTACTAAAAACGTGTGAATGTTTATGGAAGATACTAGGTTCCCTCGGTTCCCTTCTAGATCGACCTTAAGAGAACATAAAGTTATTTTCGGAAGGTTATCAAGGTTGTGCTTTCCACGCACTAATAGAAATACTTACCTTTTTTCCCAGAAATAAGCAGAGCCATGTCAACATCATTGTTCAAAATAAGTCATGCGTACAATGCTATGCTGCTGTACTCTGCATCATTTCAAGAGTTTAGTCCTAACGCAGCGGGTCAAAATGAAATTCTTCTTATGCAGTTTGGTATGTTCTTCACACTGACTCTGGGTAAGTTGACTGTAAGTGTTTAAAACGAGCATATACGATGTATCTTGTTTCGAGACTTTCAATTATTAATGAAGGTATCGAGTGCTCACACTACAGAATCAAATGAGTTTGTCAGGTCTGTAGACAAATAGGACGAACGCGAGAAACATGCCGCGTCTTGTTCTGGCCGCTTAGGTCTTGGTACAATGTAATTTTCCGTTGACGTTTGGGATAGTTACGTAAGGAATCCTTCATTGTCACAAGAGTCCCCAAATTTGGGCACCGTGATCCTGTCTCCCTTAAGTTGACTCATCATTGTTTCCTGTTTTTCTCACTTAATTTGCATCTTAAAATTAAAATTTGACAATATACAAAAGTTTTCCCACAGAGTAGGTGGGAGATATAAACTTTTCTATTTTGGTGGAAATTAAATGATATGTAACTAAAATGTATTAATGGTATTAAGCTAATATTCTATAAACTGTTGTTGATCTTATCAACGTAGTCAGGTTTCGATGACACTTCTCTACGCTTACCCAAAGTTTACCAAAAGTATTAAACCCCACACAACAATTTCTAATCGATCTTATCGGCTACTTCTGACTGACAGCGTTTTGTTTAACTCAGTGGAGGTAATTTTCATAAATTTTGCAATAGTAGCATGTCGATTGTTAAAATTTTCTGGGGGCCACCACGCCCTACTCTTTATTTGAGAGGCAATCATACCCTCTGTACGGTGATGATAAACAAAAGGTTTCATCCACAACACAATGTATTAAGCGCGTGTCACTAGCTTGATTCCTTCTTTTTTGTGAATTTCCAAAAAATGAGAACAAATGTGTATTTAACCCAAATAAAACTGAAATATGGCTTCCTCTAAAGGAGTCATAAAGGCGCGCAAACAATATGATGTCTAACAGCTTCATTTCATTTTTTTTCCTAGTGCACGTGGCTAGCACGTGTTTAAAACAGGCGTCACTTAGATATATGCACACTTTCTCCGAGAGAAGTCTCTTTAATCTAGATGGTGCATATTTATTCTAGACTAGGAGTAGGTGGTAACCTATTTCTGAGTAATCAGTATTGCATGTAGGCGCTCGCACTCTCTAATTATGTATCAGCGACCTCTGTTTCTCGTTCTTTATTTTTTATAGCTTTTCATTCTTTTCTTTTCTCTTTTGTGGCTCACTTATTGGTCAGTCACCTAGATCCGCCTGTATTCGTTACCATGATTGGCTCTTGTTCAAAACTACTTTGATCGGGTCAGTGGAAATCTGACTCGTCCTAACTCTTCGGCGTCAATTTTTTTAGAAAAGAAGCAAGAAACATTCTGAAAGCTTTACTGGCAGGCTTAGCTGGCTTTGAAAGTAGCTTTACAGGTTTGCTTTGAGCCCTTAATGTGATTATAGTGAAGGTAATCAAACTAGCTTGGGAGAACGATATTTTTCCATGCAAAAATATGATGACACCATTGCTGCTTCCAGTTTTATAATAACACAATAACACAAGTGATCTTACTTTGAACAACGTTTGTTGATAGATGAATAGTTTTCATATTTTTTAAGGGGGAGTCACAACGTTTTCAGTGGGAACGGAGGGGGAATTAGTCGGGGCCAACAGGGTTTAAAGGGGGGAACCACGGGAAATTGACTGCCAATGAGGGAGGCGGGATAATAATAATACTATTGAGTCATAAGGGGAATCAGGTATGTTTTATCCTGACACAACCAAACTTCTACGACCCACCCCCTCAATTATGACTTTTGCATTATCATATCTTTCCAGTGTCCATTCATGCTATAGTTTATCCAAGTATGATCGCTGCTCCAAAAAGGTTCATAAACGTCTCTATTGGTGAGACTGTGTCATTTAGGTGGCACTACAATTCAGGAGATCTAAAGAATGATCTTTTCGAGGTTGTGTTTGGTATTTGGAAGAGTCCTGGCTTCCTGAAAACAAAGTTGATAGCTGTCAACTCGAGTGGTTTTGCCTCAACAAGGTCTTCATACAAGTCAACGGTGGGTTGGGCAGGGAATTTGACATCCTCTATTGCAGTGTTTGAGCTTTACAATTTAAAACTTGAAGATAGCAAGAAGTATGGAATAGTGGTAGAATACGGACTTCGGAATACCCCGTTGACCGACTCGGTTCAGCTTCAAGTTGTGTCCAGACGTAAGTAAAATGGTTCAAGACAGCACAGAGAATATTCGTTCCAACTCAAAATTGTATTTCAGGTTATTGTGATTATTGTTCATCTGTAGGTTATAAGAAGGGGTCCGCGTAGAAGAGGTAGATGAATGTATCTTCAATAGTGGCAAAAACTGATAAGGTTGAAGGGGAATTGTTTCGTTCAGTCGGGATCAAATTTGTAGTTCCTTGATCGGCAGGGTCCCTGAAATCTTCTAAAAGAGGAGGCAGCACTGAATTATCGGGAAAGAGAATTCGTCAACAGTAATTCCAAGATCACTACGGTAATTGCAGATTATTGTTTTTTTTCGTAAATACAATTAAAACTGCCATTCTACACAAGCTCTGTTACCTTTGTGAATTGTTCAAACACTTCATTTAATTACTGGAAGATTGATCTACACAATTGTGTTCCTGAACTACCGAGAATTGAGGCCTCCGCTGCGCAATAGGGGCGGGAAAAGATTTTTTGACATGCTGTTCTTAACACCTTCAAACTTCTTTACTTAACTGATTGCATTTCCGAAGTTTTAACTCTGCTTGGTATTAAAGTTGATTTCGCTCTAATTATTAGACACAGGTCCACCAAAACCACCACTACTACTCCACAACAGATATATTAAGTGTCACAACAGCCGTGAGAGCTACAATTACAGGGTCTCCAAATACGTCGAAAGGTAATGTTCGTATCCTGTTGGTTTGCCCATTCTAAGTTAAAGTAATTTTGCACCAGCAAGCCTGTTGGTGTCTTAACTCAGGACCAGTAGCCTGAGTTAAGACTGCAAGTGATTTCACATATTACAAGTCGAAACACTTCATTAGTTACCATCCAACACGTAAGAATACTTTCATTCCTATTACTTAACCTCCAAACTGACCTTCATACTCACTGAGCCATCTACCCTTTACATTACCTGCTTTCCCAACTACTACAGTTTAACCATCAGAGTTGCTGTTTTTTTTTTATTATTTCTGTTATAGAGGTTGGCGTTTCATTGCCAAGAAAATCTTCAGGAGAATCCTCCTCTAACTGGGCAGTGGCATGTGGAATCATCTTATTTGTTGCGATAACACTCACAGTGGGCCTTTGCTTTCACCATCATAAAAAAAGCCCTAAACATGGCGTAAATAATTGCAGCTGCAAGACACTTGCTATGGACGACTCACCCTTATTCATTAAAAGCAACAAAAATGAATTCGGCGTTTGATCCTGGGAGATTCATGCTAAGAAAATTAAAAGGTCTAAACACTGTGTTACCGCTACGACAGCATCAGTTAAATGTTTAGTATGGCACGGCAGCAGATTCAAACGTATTAATTTCAATCGAACCAAACTAAGCGCACTTGAGGTAAATATAAAACCCCCAAGCTGGTAGGTTTACTAATTCTAAATATCCGGTTAGTCGTTCAAAACATAAGTGTGTTGTAAGGGGAAGTTAGTCAATGATGTAAATCAATCCAATAATTTACAATTGATAATAAATGTATCACGTTTCTGTCTTTCTATTCAGTGCCTTTTGAGAGTTTTCGAGCGATGGTATATTTTAAAATTCTCCTGTTACCTCTCTCTCTGATGAATGTTTTTCGGGTGATCTTACGGTCTGCGTAGTCATTTCGACTTATTGAGTTACAATCTCAAATAACAACTCGAAGTTTTCTGTTGAAAGTTAGTTTCTATAATATTTGGACTCTCCTCGAAAGATTCTGTCACCCTAAAATGCCAGATATGTTCCTTTTCTTTAATATACCTATCAATTACAGCTGATTTTCAACGAAGCTGTAAATAACACGCGCATAAACTGAGATCGCAACCCTTTTGGTGAATGATGTCGCAATGAATAAACAAACTAATTCCCTGACTCCTCATGAAAGAATGCAAACTTTTCGCTGCCATAGCAACACCTCCACTAACTTATCTAGGCAAAGATTTAAAACTGACAAAAAAGACAAACAAAAGGACTTGCAGCCAATGATGCATTTTCCGATCTCACTTCAGCAGGAGAGACGCTGTCGTGAATAAGATAACGTAACCGAATCAACCACTGAGTCCTCGACTTCCAGGGCTGATAAGTTCGAGACGAACTTGATTAAGCTCAGATAAATTATGCTTGATAGAGTGAGCACTAGAGCTGTTAAAACGTTTATTTTGACGGTCAAATATTGTTATGATGCTCAAAATACATCGTATGAAACGGTCGCTGACGAAAGGTAAAAAAGAAAATGAAGTCAACTAAGTTTATTGCGCTTGGCGCTCCCTTAACCCAGGCTATACGGATGTTTATGAAAAGTAGCATCTTGGCGCATAAATTAGATTTGAGATGTTCCCACGCTGCTGATGTTGATCTTTTAGGCGTTGAGTACCTGTGACGACCTTGTATCACCTTTAACAATGTTTTGCCGGAACACTTCAGCTATTTATAACCGTCACACACCAGCAAAAATTTAAATGTTAGCGTAGGGCCCGTGGTCAAAAAAACTCACTTTCTGTTAGTAAATTTAGCGATATAGATGCAAATATTTTCTTGTACCAGCGTTCTATCGAGATAATTACTAGCTATATGACGCTTATAGATGAAAAAATATCTTTATGGCCACCAATGAGCATACATTTGAGACGAGCGACCAGAAATGAGTTTGAAAAGTTTTGATGCATGCACATTTTCATGATTTTCTTAGGGTGCTTGACCTCAAAAGCCAGTTTCAAAAAAGATTTACGTACAACTGGTGAAACCAGCTTTCAAGTACTTAATTTGGGTTTTGGGATATTGTTGCGGTGAGGTAGAAGAACTTTCGATACGACAGAGACCGAACCAAAAGGTGGAATATCTTTCTCAGAAATTATGGCGTACTGCCCACTTCTAATGTTGAATTGCCGAGTTTGATAATTATCATGAAGCAAGTGGCCTAAGGGAATTAATTAGAGCTTTGTCTTATCGTTTTGAAGCGGAAGAACTGGATGGAAACTGAAACTGGTTTGCAATAACGAACGAGGCGAATCGGCCGACATCACGCTTTCATTGTCTATTTTGAAATAGCTAGCGAGAGCAGACGCCTTTCAAGAAGCTTCAGCTCAATGCTTGATTGCAAAATTTCATCGAAGTTCGTGGAAACTGACTCAGAAAACCCATATGCACAGTTTTATTCAAATAAATAGCTTTTCAAGGATGAGTTTTGCGTGATCTAACGTCGTAAACAACTCCGTCTCCTCGAAATTGTCATGCACCATTAGCTTAAAGGTCAATTTCTCAGAAAAGCATACAATTTTTTAAGATTCCTTGCTCAATATTTTGAGACTAAGTAGGCCGGCTTTCAACCGGGATATTAGGGCACTCAATGCCCGGCCAGAATGATGTCACTTCAATCTCAAGAGGGTCTCAATTAGTTTGCTCTCAGTCATGGGAGAATGTTCGTATCCGCAGCCATTCTGACTATATAGTTAGTTTCTTCGTGAAGCACTGGCTTTGAGAGCAGTCTAAGTTTACCTTGTAGTGAATTTCAATTAACCCCGACTCGTTAAGATATCTAAAGTTATTTTACTTTATAATTTCAAAATTGTTCAAACTTACATCATCTGATTTTTTATTTAGATTTTGTTATAAATTCAGAACTAAAGCAGTGAGAAATGGAGAGGTCTTTCATTATTAAATTCAAATGTTTACTGAAGAGACCAATAGACCCTGTAAAAAAGTCTGGCACCCATTTCGGCTCCCTTCTAGATCGACCGTTAGCATCAAAGATATGCTTAAGCGTTAATTACATTTTGACTGCTCATGGAGGACACAAAGCTCATTCTCGGAATTTCATGGTAATCGCTTTTCACGCTCTGATAGAAACAGTTTCCCTTTTTCCCAGAGAAGAACAAAGCCCTGTTATTTAGATAAAAAAAGGCTAAAGAAAACCCTTAAGAAACGCATGGCAATGGGATGCGTAGCCATTCTCGACACTAATTCTACGGAGGGATTACTCTCAAAGTGGCCGGTCAACATGAAGTTTCTCTTATGCGGCTTGGTTTGTATTTTAACACTGATTCAAGGTAAGTTGACTGTTAATTTTCAAGACACGATTAGCGATATACTCCGCTTTTAAGATGATGAAAAGACTCGCCATTTCCAAAGGTATATTTTTAACTAGGGATGGAAACCGAAAGCAGCTACCTCGACAATACCTATTATATGTTATGTCTAACGCCAAAGCGATTTCTCATCCTGCTGAAAAAATAGTGCACTTGAGAGGATTGAAAAGCATTCAAGGAAGCGTTTTGAAGGGAAAAAGTAAGGTCCTTCTCTGTGGAATAACTGATTTTAAATGAAAATTATGCATATATTAACGACAATTTTTTATTCGTCTGAGCCGTCCATGGTCTTCCTGCTTTTTTCGGAAACAAGACACACAACTAAAGAAACCTATTGAGATATCAATATGATTAAACACAAGAAAAAATTTTTGAATCTATTTGTGAATGAAGATGGGCAATTGTTCGTAGAAATCTTTCTCATTCCTTTGTTCCTTATGTTCGTAGAATCAAAATTATAGCTATTATGATCAAAATGAGAGTTCCGTTATGCGTGTGAACGTATAACTGGAAGAGTACTTACACCAATGTGGAAAGTTACCCAGGGTCTGCATGTATAAATCAGATTATTCCTTAAGAAAAATTCTGAAGGTTGCTTTTAAAACCAGTTCCTTTTTAAATTCAAATTTTGCAGTTCCGGTGGCAACTGCGGGAGATGTCTGTGATGATCCTAGAGTTACAGTTACAGTCAATTCTGGAGTGGACGCAAAACTTTACTACAACAGATCAAATCATGAAGATGACCAACATTTTCGTGGCTATCGTGCATACGCACATTCGTCCGTATTTGCATTCCTAAACAAAACTGGATTAGATGGCGCTTGTACTCATCCAGTAAAGGAGATTTGTTTGCAGGGGAAGGCCGAATTTAAGAAGGTGAACCAAAGCCTTTTGATGATAGAAATTTTCAATGTCGCTGTCAATGATAGTGGCAAGTACAAAGTCGTGGCCCTGTTCTCATATACACATAATGATACGGAAACAGAGAAATGCTTACAAGTACACCATCTAAATGTATCAGGTAAGCAATGGATATGTTAGCGTTTCTTACGATCAGAGAACAATGAAATATCAAGCAATCCTGCACAAAACTTAATAGTTTAAAAACTGGTTTTGGGTTTACATTTCTCCTCTTCATATCTTTAAAAGAAAAATCCAGATTTTCAAGGAAACTTTCATGAAAAGTCTAGATCCGCTCTTGCGGATTTAAAAAACTTTATTTAGATATTATGTAATTTTTAAACTTTGAGCCGGTTTATTGACGGGGCATCTTGAATTATAACTGTAAAGTGTAGACTTATTTTCCTGCTACTGTTCCCAATCAGAGAGCAAGGAGAAGTCTAAGGCCACTGTTTTATTCCCAAGTAACGACCATATTGAATTGCTTGGGACTTTGGTGTTGTTATTCTTTCGCAGTTCTGTGTTTCAGATCTTTCAAAATATATTTCAAAAACACAAAATATTTACATTATGTACTGTTAACGGAAAGAACATCTGTATTCAGGACCACTGTCTTTCTTGTTCCTTGAAACTGAGCATTTCTACCACGGAAATCTACTTTTCAAATCTATGTGTAAATTAAGGCTTGCTAGCATTGTTTATTCTAAACAATTTCTGCTATGAATTAATAATCCTGCTGTATATCTGTAAATTTTCTGCTAAATTCATAACAGAAAAAGATGCAAAATAAGAAATATTATCATTTATGTTTTAGATAACTCCACAGGAACCACGACAAGTCCAGTACCTCAGTCGACTCAAGTATACAGCCCCAGCAGTAGCTCAGGTAAGCGTGGCCAGGGAAAGTAGTCATTCTTACTCTGTAATACACAAATCATTTATGAACTCAACTCTTCTGAATAAGCAAACCGTGCACAACTTTTTCGCTGTGCGATGAGCTGGAACTCAGACTCACTTGAATGCTTGTCTTAAAAGTATATTGAACCTCGTATCCTCGGATTTCTTAGAATTGTTTATTGTATAGAAATACAGTCTTTTGTGTAAATTGCTAAGCATTGGATCTTCATACTCTGCTCCAGTCGTAAAGAAATGTAGAAGTCATGTGATAATTTTGCCGGAATGGATGACGGAAGTGACATTGACATAAACTGCCTTGCATGGTTTAATCTGGACAACATCTGCCGTGTATATATTGCTGAAATGCACAAATGATATCATGTCAGTATCGTTTTAAACAACTCCACAGAAACCACGACAAGTCCAGTTCCTCAGTCAGAAAAGTAAGCAATTTCGCGGGAAAATCAAGTATCGGTGATGAGTCGGTCAGTCCTGAATGACCTCATTTTTCCAATTAAATTCCTTGATTTGTAATTTGTACCGAGACTCTTGTAAAGTGTTATTCCCAGATGAGAAAAAAACCTCCCCGCGGGGTGACGCGATACGTGACGAGTTCAAACGTTTCCTCATATTTTGGAGCAAAGGCAAAATATGGGGAAACGTTCGATTTGTAAGTTACGTGATTTTTCGTACGGAGCGTTGCACATTTCAGCACGCCATTCATGAGTTAGGATACTCCTTGCGTGCGCCAAACTGTCTTAAATAAACCTTTCAGATTGGTTGTTTGGCTTGAGCGTAGTCTGAAAACTAATCCTAACCATGGTCAACAGAATAAATGTTATATGATATTGTTGACTGGGTGTTTGCTATCATTTTATTTTGATTCATTGGGTCAAACATGATCGAGGCAGTGACATTGGATGTTTATTTTTACAATGAGCTCCAAGGAAAACGAGAATCTGTGATCTTTGACCAAAGAATCAACCTAGCCACTTAAACGCATTTTTTTTCTCAAAATAATAGAAGACTTGTAAAAAGGCAGGTTTCTTTATTTCATTCCCGGCCTAAATCTAAAATATCTTAATAATTAACGTATTTGTTAATCATTATGAAAGAATCGTGCACACTTTCGATGTATTTAACCTGTTGATTCTGCACATCTCATGGCCAAGGCATCTCAAATAAGTCACCCCAGGGTCTTCACATTATGTTAAAATTCCAACAGAATCACAATCTTCCGCATGGACAACTCATGTTAATTTTTAGCAGTCAAAACCGTCCTCACTTCATTGGATACGTTTTTACAGAACGCGAAACTAGAATAGCACAGTCGATAAAATTTGAAATTCAATGAACAAAACAGAAAGTTATAAGTTCAGTATGTCAGTTCGGTGTTACTTCTCCTCCTGAATGTTGGGGCTTCGGGGTTGAGTTGCGGAGGAGCCTGTACATTCTCCCGATCGCATGACAGCTCCAGTTGGTAAAGGTGTTTTACCGCCGGTTCGAGTGTTCCTTTCCCCGCTCGAAGTTTGGCAGCTCGTCTCGTCCCGAAATCAGGTCTTCCACGATTCAAATTTTCCATTTGTTGCGATTTCGTTCCTCGTCCATGATGATGATCACCTCTCCTTTGGCCAAGGGCGTAGTTTGATTCATGTGTTTCATCCGGTGTCGTTCTCTCAACCCTTGTAAATATTCGGTGGTCCACCTGGTCCACAAAGTCTGCTTTCGCCTGCGCAGATATTTAGCTCTTCAGCGCAGATCAAATTCTCTTAGATGGTGTGGTTCCAGTTCTGCTAGCTGGTTTGATCGAAGAAATGAAAGTGAGTTAGCGGTAAGCACTGATAACTCAGTGTATGTCGCCTTCGACGTAATATAAAGGGCGGTTGTTCAAAGCAATCTCCATATCCAGTACCACTTCCAGTACCGCACAGCGGGCAGCGGTCGTCATGAGAGTAGGACGTGTTTTTGTTAGCTCTCTCCTGTTGTTCCAGCTTTTTACATTTTTATAAGATGGAACCTTACCTTACACCAAGAAATGTTTCTCAAAAGTTAGCAGTACCTCCTTCTGGAAAGGCGGAGTGTTTTCGTGCTGGGGTGAAACTCCTAGCCTGAGCTATTCCTTCGGCGTGCCATGTGGTTCGAGCAGCCATAAATTGCGCAAAAAACTACGAAATTGAAACATTTTTAAAGTTACTATTCAATTAAAGGTAAGTTTCTAAACTTGAGGCTAAATTTTTGGCTACAGACTTTTTATGGCAAATAGGGTGGTGAGAATCGAAAGCGAGGTATTTGTCGGTGTGGGTAGGTTTACGGTAGACACTTGTCTCTAAATTACCCTGAACCCCTCTGGACACATTTAAATCAAGAAATTTATTTCTGCGGTATCCGGAAATGAAGCAGAGCGCCTCCTGTCGCACTTGAATTCAGTGGAGCCGTCGATCCAATTCACCCTTGAATAGTCATTTGCCCTTTCTTGTCTCTTAAGTTCCTAAGTCGTCTTAATTTACGCCAACTTTTGAATGAAATTTCTCGGATAGGGCTGGAGATGCACACTTCGTCTTCGTCTTCGTCTTCGTCTGATTTCTGATTATTCAGTGTACAACTCAGATTAACCTATTGATTATCATCGATTTCCATAGTCTAACTTACATTTACTAGCATTTTCAGATGAAGCATTGTGATGACCTTGGTATTTTGACTAACAAGAGCTCGACAATTTACATGGTTATCGGCACATTTGCCTCTCTTGGCCGCATCGGAGGAGGATTCCAGTGCGACTTGAAGTTCGTAAACAGCTGCCTTTTGCTTCAGGCAGCGATTTTTATTATGACAGCTTCCACTATGCTTCTGACCCTGGTAAAGTCTTACTTTGTTGTATTCACTTATGCCATCTTTTTCAGTTCAGCGGATGGATTGTTGATTACTTCAATGATAGTTGAAATCCCAAAAGCCGTAAAGGAAGATGAAAAGGCTTCCGCCGTTGGATTGCTGATGCAGTTTTCCGGAGTTTCTGCCCTAATTAATCCACCGTAGTCGGGTAGGGGACCAATTTTGTCTTTCCACTTTTATACTCCCCCTCCCCCCTCCGGGGGACTGAGAATATATCCCCTTCTCTTTACAAGCTATAAACGGGGTATTATGAGCTGTGCTCCTGTGGCGTCTCCCTCCACTCCGGAAACGTCATAACCAATAATAATGGAGTATCCTGTTAAGCTTCTAAACTCCTATGAGACGACGTTGTTGTTGGAGCGTGCATATGAACAGTGTTCAGAGATTCTCCCCTTTGGCTCTCGTATCCATGACAAAAACTTTGGAGCCATTAAACTGTACATCCTTTGGTTACCTAATCCTAAAGAAGAGTCTTTTGAAAATATCAACAACAATTGAAGTGAGTCAAAGAGGCAGATAGGTCTTTAAAGAGACAAACGTGGTATTCTGATGTTTGAAGGACTTCAAAGTAGACAGACAAATGAATTAACGGGGTAAGGACTTCAAAGTAGACAGACAAATGAATTAACGGGGTAAGTTTCGAAAGAAACTGTGGTGCTGCGTCGGTGGGAGGGTATAGCAGGGTAATTTAGTATTATCAACTTAGTTGATAACGTAAATTGGCCACAGTAGAGAGTTTCAAAGCTGACGTTTCAAGCGTTTCGAAACGTCAGCTTTGAATCTCTTTATGGTGGCAAATTTACGTTATCAACTCAGTTGACATTACCAAATTACCCAGACAAACAAAAGACACCTCATATGCCTGCCATTTTGCTGTTTGAGACATGTCTTTCTTATCAGGTCTAATGGCTGACACTTTCGGTAATTACATCGTTGCGTTCATTGTAGCTGGTGGAGTTGGAGTCATTGGGTCTCTCCTTCCATTTATCCTTCTATGTTTGAAACATGAAGCAGGGAGAGATGAACAAAACACATGGGAAGATGCTTGAAAAGGATTTATGTAAAGATATCCGATCCAATCATGGGCCAATTATGGCAACTGATAATATATAATGATTTAAAAGTTCTTAAGATAACTAAGACTTTACGTGCGCTCTGATTGGTCGATAACTGAATTGTTTTGGTGTCCGTGGCAATATTTTTAAGTTAATAGATCACCTGTTCTATTGCTCATGGGTTACTACTCCTGTAAACCAGCAGAGAGTCACAGCGGTCGTCCACTGCTCAAGCGAAGAATGTCGTCGTTTTTTATTTAGATCTTCCCCGCTTATTGATTGCCAGGAGAAGTGCTTAACCAGTCACTTAATAAAATGACTCCTTAGTCATATCATACGATTAAAAACGATTAAAAACGTTCTTGTTCACTCTATCAATGTTTCTTTTTTACTTAACCACATGTTAAGTTACTTGATCCCCAAAAGTGAAAAACCCAACTGATCTTTCTCGCTAATGGCTAGAATTTAAAAGCTATTCACGTACTAAGCATATCAAATTCAATTTGTTGATTTAATGCACTGAATCTCTGCCAGTTTCGTTTTGTAATTTCAATTTATCAGGTTGAAGATTTCCCTGTTTACTGAAAAGTTGAGTAAATTAAGACTAGTGTATTATTGGCGAATGTTTTATAGATTTGCCAAGGGCCTGAATCATCAAATCGAAATTCTGAAAGTGATCCAAACGTCGAACAGTTCATCCCGTTGAACTCCTCAATGGATCTACAAAAGGTAGTGCTTAAGAGTTATTTTGGGCTTTCATAGTCAACAAGACCTCAATTTATCCTCGGCAGGTGAGAGAATTTGCATCTGGCCTTGTCGCTTCTTAACAATAAGGTCAATCCCATTGGACAAAAAAGAAACTTCTTCTGACTACCTCAAACAGCTTTCAAAAAAGTCTTTTGGGTTTTACAACTGGAAATGCTAAAATGAACCCTAAATCAATGGGTGGAAAGTTGAACATCGTTATTGAGAGTTTCGAATAGGTCACTCGAATCAGAGTATACGTGGATTAGATTTTAGAAGTTTCGCTGTTCACCAGGTCCTTTACTCTCAAAACCATTATGTCTTTCACTTCTTTGATCCCGATGTTTAATTCCTGGTAGCTATCGTTGTTGAGACGCTCTCTAATTCGTTCCAAAATTGTCTCTTTGTTGTTTAAAAGAGCGCAAATTACCAACGGAAAGCCGAATTTCTCTTTGTAGAGTCTGGTGTAGCTTTTCAAAAGCTTTATCTCCTCGGCGCCGAGTGATATAATACCAGCCTCCGTCTGCTCTCTCTCGGAATCACTTGACAAAGATTCCCAACGATCAAATAGATGCTGATAACTGTGCAGGATTCCCACTTTTGCGTTGTCTGGCAGACTGTCAATAAACCGACAGATCTCAGTGACGAAACTCTCGAAGGATGAAAACGGCGCCTTGGTGCAAACGGCAGCCGCGCAAAGAGACATGTGTTCGACAACATTTGCGAAAGTTGAAATAAAATCTTCATAGTCGAGCTCGTTCACGGCTTGAATACTCAGCTTCCGGGCCATATGCTGCTCGAGAAACTTGGAGATATCTTAACAGTGTCCTTCCCATTCGTTATATACGTCTGTCTTCTTCGGTAACGGCTGTATATAAGAAACCCTCTCCTCAAAGGTGTGAGCCACTAGTCTGAAGGACAAAGGTACAAGTTTATGTCTTTTATTTCCAAACAAGAAAACTATCTAATAGATGCCAAAGAGGAACAAAAATTTCAAAAACATAAAGACTCGAGTTTTGAAACCAGAAGGATTGAATTCTGAAATATAAATGACTGGAATTGGACAAATAGTCCATTTTACAGTTGTGTGCTTGGTTGCCTTTGAACAGGAACGAGGCACTAACACTACAAAAACAAACAACGGGCCTAATTTTCAATTTAAAAAATTCTTAGTTATTGACTTGGTCCTTACCGACAGAAAAAATCTCTTAAGTACACGGCCAAAATCGGCTTGTGGCAAATATTCTAGTTGTCAATTTTCGTTCTCAGCCGCGAGAAATACCATTACCAAAGCCACTGGATACACAACTTTCGGATTTTCTTTCCGTATTTTGCAATTGGTTTTCTCTCCCTTCTAGGAAAGTTTGAACGTCACTTTCTCTAGGCAGTACGGATTTTTCAGTGGTTTGGCAGCCATAATCTGAAAAAATTCCAGCAAACGACCTTGGATTGAGAATGGTGTAAGCTTCGCTGTTCATTCATCAACCTGACTGAGTGGCGTGGAAGGCAAGTGACGTGTTAGCAGCTGATTGGCGATATCATGTATACAGCGGGTCAATATTACCGGGAATATGAAATTCTGATCACGATTATGAAGAATTCATGCATCCAAGACACCTAAAAATGTTTTTTTCAAAAACCATCCATGTGTTTTGGCCCGTAATGAACTATAATAGGGAAAGAATTCCCTATAAATTCCGTATAACAAGACATCAGTTGTCGCATAGGATAAGAAAGTAAGCATAGTGTGAAATAGGATATCTGAGTTAGTTTTGAGGCGACTTAAGTGACGTAAAACTGTTTGCGTGCACCTTCTGATGGAAAATTCTTCAATGCCACTCACCAGAAGCAAATTTTCTGGTTGACATCAAAGAAAAAATATTTGAGTCTAAAAAAAGGAAGATAGGTCTGGTTGAGCTCACACCATTCTCCCTTCCTGGACCATCGCCATGGCAGGGACTTCCAGGTTTAGATTCTACGGCAGTGTTTTCTTGATCATTACGGGAGTGTTTCTTGATCCTTTCCATTCCTATATTCAGCTTCATTGGTGAAGCAACTCAGTCGGTTGGACTCCCCAGGAGCCAAAGTAAACGGGCCACCCAGTGTTATTTGATTAAAGGGGCAATCAGATACACTGCGAAGGGTTCGACTGGCATCTCTCCATGTTGTTCATGCCAAGTGAACTTAACTTTTCTTTTCACCAATATGTAAACCAGTTTAAGAGATTTTCATATGTTTTATTTGTACGACTAATACTTTTAACCGTATTTAACTTAGAAATAAAGTTCTTTATATAATAATATACTTAAAATCTACCTATTTTTTGTACAACTATAAAACAAACGTAAGCATCACTATATGAATGCCGTCCAACTTATTAGGAATTGTTATTTGTATCGATTCTGTGATGTAAAAATGTAGACAATAATTGATTCCAACCTCTTTGCTGGATAATGTAACTAAACGAAAAACCTTGAACCGCGATTAACATCAAGAAAGGATTATCTTCTCTTGCCGACATGGTAATTTAAAGCCAGAAAAATTTATCAAGATTTCCATTCCCTGTTGGTATTGAAGTATTTTCTGTTCCAACCTTGTTAGTGGGTAAAAGTTCATTGATATACATTACGCCCAGCTTATAATTTGGGAGGTTTTCCGACTTTCTGTACAGTGAGAATGCGCTAAATTTTCCATCCACGACGTAACTGATTCGAATGTCGGTCGCCTAGATGGCTCTTGGTCCCAGCACTGAAGCATCAATTTATACCTGTGGGAATCAAGTGATCATGTTGTTAAGATAGCAAGTTGTCCGAATGAATGTAGAAACATTTCCTTTTTCTGCTTTAATGATCAGTTTTCGCGGGGTAAAACCAAAAACCCAACTGTCAAAACGGCTATAAATTCAGGGGAATTTGTTTTTTATAATGTAAACACAGACGTAACCAATTAAAGATATCTGTGAAGTCATGAGTCAGTCTTTACTCACCAAAACTCCACATAACCAGCGACTTGTTAAAAAAAACAAATAGTATGACGATTTGAACTGTTGGGTCAAAAATCCGGTGTTTTATACGAGTGCAAGGTAAAATAAAAATACATTCCTCAGGTCAGTAGAGCCTTTTGGAGCATTATTTCCATGTATGAAACACTTACTCAACTATAGCTTTTACTGCAGCAATTTTCAACTGATTGTCGAAAGTTATCCGGATTATATTGGTTTTGCTTTACTTTGCCATTTGATTGGTTCAGAAAACTTTTGCCTCTCTCTTCAAGGTCAAGGTCTCTCTTATGAATAGGCCTATTCATAAGTGAGGCCTATTTATACGTGTGAATCTAGATGTAACGTGATTCTACGTACAATTCTCGGCTCACGCCTGACGACCTTCGCAATTTATGACCATGCAACACGTACGTAAAGACTTCTTGTCCGCTCATTCCATCGTAAGGGTTCCCCCCTGCAAAGATAAAAAACACTGCGTATTTGACTCAGAAAAAGAGTAGAAGTTTGTATGCTCGCGAAGAACTTAAAAGATGTCAGCTCTCAGAAAGCTGAAGAAAAAGGTTCTGTAGAAAAGATAGTACTGAGTAATAACAGACTTGCAAATTTTCTTTTTAGTAGAGTGAAAGGTTTGAAACCTCAGGCAGCAGTTGATTGTGTAGACTACACGTCTAGATTAGAGTAGTTCTGGAAAGGATTGTTGTCAGTGACAATGGTTGACTTATCAACATCCTCGAATCTCCTTCACAGAGACCTCTGATGATGACTTTCACTCGCATTGTTCTTTCCAGGACTACCCACATCCGATTGATCACAATGATACTCTCTGTTTGCAGGTTCGATAGCAGCCCCCCACGATCGCATTCGAAATTCCAGTTTAACAGTCTATAATCAGCTCCCGACACGGGTGATTGTCAGGCCTCCTCGACAAGAAGTGACCTAGTTAGGTTGATATCCTGTTTTCCTCTGGCTTTCTCTGCCATCTTACTTTTCTTACTCCGAGTCCAAATAACCTCAAGTCTCCCAAAAACCTAGAAAAATTCCAATTACCGAGGGTGAATATCTCATGTAGGACGATTCCATAACTCCACCTAAAAAAAAAGGAAAGACAAAAAAAAAATATGTGTATTATATTACCGCTATCTGTCTCAGACGATTATCACTATTTTTAGTTTGCGGAGAGTCTCTTGTAATATAGACCATCGAAAAATCTATCACATACAAAGAACTTTTCTCGCTTTCTTGCATGATCAGGTTACTGCTCAGTAGGAAACAGTCGGGCGGGAAACATGAAGATTTGATTTCACGCTAAAGAGAGGAAGGAAGCAGGAAACAGTCGGGCGGGAAACATGAAGATTTGATTTCACGCTAAAGAGACATTGAATTCTTAAAAAGAGCGCTGAGTTAATATTCCTTTGGAAAGTGTTATCACTTTTACTTCAAGCTCATCAATCTACTTACACATCACTTTCTGGGGTAAAAACTTGTTTTGTGAGTGATTCAACTGCCATCCACTTCACTGGTACAACTCCCTATGAAATAACGCAATAAAAATTTAACATAGAACCAGAATGAGTGTTTTGTAAGTTCAGTTGTCAAAAAATTTCTAACTTCCATAAGTTTGAGATACTAGGATCAATGTTATAAAGTCTGAGAAGTAACGAATTTGAAAGGTCGCGGAAGGGGGGGGTGAGGGGGAGCAGCACGCACTCACTGTACCTGTTAGTGGGTACATGCTTACTTACATTGGACCTCTTGACATAAATTTTATCTTTGCCAAGATCTCTCGCCATTCCAAAGTCAGTGATTTTACAGTGCAGACCCTCGCCAACCAACACATTCCTCGCTGCTAAGTCTCGGTGAACGAACTACAAGTGAACAAACAATTTGATGAATAATATTTCGCCCAGTGTTTAACCTCGTGTAATAAATTTCTCATCTCCATCGTTTTGAATAATCGTTACTCATTGAGAATTTAATTTCACGAAGGTTTTCTCAGTTCAGTTTGAAATGTTGTATTTTTAATTTTGACAAAGACTTGCACCTCTTATTCTTAATTCTTAACTTTGTGTTTGTCCATGTTAAGTTAGTTTCCTCAAGTGTTCTTAACATGAGAATGAAATGTCTGGTAGTATGAAAGTTAGAAGTATAAAAAAATTGAAATATCGCTTATCGACGAAGTGTACACTCGAGTTTAGTATATACTAAACAGTGGATGGTGTTGAAGACGCGTTCTGATTGGCTACTCAAACTCCAATTATCCTTTGCTATTGACCTCTGAACAACTCGCGCGGGATTTGAGCCCGAAAATATCGTAATCGTTGCAGTAATAAATTAGATAAAATAATCTTTTTGTGCTATGTTATCTGAGTATTTTAGTATATACTTACACAACTTTTCACCGTGGCAGTGGCTAGATATTTCATCGTTAGATATGTCCCTGAGCAATTGTTAAATATATCACGTGTCATAAAAATGGAACAGATTAAGTGAAATACGACACCTGGTGAGCCGATATGAACGCCATTCCCCGGGCAATATCACAAGCGAATTTGTAAAGTTGTTCTGTTGGTATTTTCAATGCAGTTTCTGCACATTTAACGTCGTAGTAGTCATCTGTCTCGCCTCTACTTTTCTTCAGATATCCAAGGAGATCACCATGAGGGACAAACTCCAGAATAACAAGAGGCGGCCCTGAATGTGCAAAGAAAATGAATCCTTGGAGTTAAAGTTATACAATGGCATTCTGACAAAGATCGATTTTCTTACACTGGCCATCAAATAACTGCATTTAGCCGTTTATATAAATAATTTTTTATTTCCGATCAGCTCTGGTTTTTGAAATTTCTGAAGTAAAAACGACTGTCCCAGTCTCCTCGTCTCGTCGAAGAACGCAACCGGGGTGTGGTTATGAAAAAAACAAACAAACAGACAAACAAAGAAGCAACAATAGCAAACGAAGAAATCAAATCATTTCAGGGTACAAATTTTTCAGTTTTGATATAACAGAGACAAAATTTTCCTCTCCCGACTATATCTTTACTTCGCGCATGTAGGATGGAAATAATCCAACTCACTAAATTCACGCCTTCCTTTACATCGGAGTACGTCTTTAGTCAAGCAGCCCAACAATTGTATCACGTTAGGATGAGGTTTAAGTTTCTTCAACAAGTCCAGCTCTGACAACAAATCCATTCGATCCGACTTCGAGGAATTTTCTAGAACAGCGAATGTCACGAAAACTTTAGTTACAGTATTTCTAACTTAATCTTGTTCATTCGTTTCTCCAGAAAACTTGGTCCAAATAATTTTTCGTTTCAAAGTTTTTGTTGTGAGGCTTTTACTTTCTGGCATATCCTTGCACAAAAATGAAGAGTTTTTTTCTGATTGAGTTGCGACTTCCTCAATAACTTATTGATACGACACAAAACTCTTTCCTTCTTTTTGAAGAAGTACTGCTTGCATTAAAATGTGCCTCTATCAATTCTTGTTACTGGTGATCCAGCAGCACATGCTACTAATTCCTCACTCATTAGAGAACGATAATGCATCTTAAATTTTAAATATCATTTACGAATCTAAGATTTTTAGCAGTGCATGCAAGCACCTCTGAGAGAATTATATGAGGTATTAGATGTAGTGCTCCGTCCTTTCGCCTTAAAAGCTATCCATAGTCAGTACGGATTTATAGGCATTTTTATATTTTGTTAGCAGTAGCACGTACCCTTTAGCATTTTAACAGCTACAGTAGACCAGCCTTGAGTATTACGCACATCCAACACAGCACCTTCCCACACTTGACCGAATGTTCCACCGCCGATCCTTTTAAATAGTCTCAGGCGTCCGCTGGGCACTTCCCAGTTGGTGTTGTTCTGCACTTTCGTGTATGGTGACTCCCTCCTGGAAGTAGAAGGTAAAACTGATTGTGGACATCTTGGGCTCTCATACGGGGTTGCTGCACATCTATCATTCTGATAACTGTGTTCTCTTTGTAGAACTCTTGGATGAGGAGTGCAGAACCTTGATTGGTTAACTCGTTCGACATCTGCACGTTGTTGAAACCCTTGCCTGCGTGAATTTGACGTCATTCCCGCAAACGTGGACAATTTTCCTCTGGGCTTAGGTGCAGGACGACCTTGAGGCAAGGTTTGTATCTTTCCACGACAACATCGGGAGCTATTTCCGTTTTGAAACGCAGCTTGTAAGTGTAAGTGCTCCACCGGTTGCAGGTAATCTTCTGAATGATTCACTCCTTGAGTTGTGTTATTTGGAGGTTTGTTTCTGAACGTGTCGGGACTTCGGACTGTTTCCTCTTGAACTTGGACAATGTTTTCATTCTCTGCATTTGGAGCTGCTGCAACTTGGGCGTTCACTTCAGTGGAGTTGTGCAACGCCTCATAATTTTCGCGTGAAGAAAACGTCGTAAAAGACATAACCTGCTGACCAGATGAGCATGCAGCAGCAACGGAGCTCATCTCGGGTCTCTCTCTTGTCCCTTCCTCAGTGTTTGCCACTATTGCTGATACTGGTTGTTCTCTCGTCAACGAGGATTGTGAAAGTCCCAGTGAAGTCATCACTGTCGTCACTGGTTCTCTTTCTGAAGAACTCTCGTAATTTTCACGTGAGGAAAACGTCGCTAAAGACATGACCTGCTGACCAGAGGAGCATGCAGCAGCAACGGAGCTCATCTCGGGTCTCTCTCTTGTTCCTTCCTCAGTTTTAGCCACCATTGCTGATACTGGTTGTTCTCTCGTCAACGAGGATTGTGAAAGTCCCAGTGAAGTCATCACTGTCGTCACTGGTTCTGTTTCTGAAGAACTCTCATTAACCTGCAAACAAATTATTTATAAACTGATGTTGTTGGAGGTTAGATATTTAAGTCTCTGGAGGCGATGAGGTTACGTAAAGGATAAAAAAGATTATATCAGTAAGTTTAGCAATTCTCATTCTTCAATTTTTCAGGACTGGGTGGTACTTGTAGTGAGTCGATCTGCGTATGGATCGGTTTTTGTTCTTGGCATGACTGAATTTCAGGATGCCATTCCAACAAAGGTGACCTTAATCTCTTCATGGTGGCTAATTCGCATTATCAACTCAGCCGACAAAACCAAACTATCATGGAGCATTCGACCTTTTTGTGGCAATGAGAACAACTGGGAATAGTAATAGTGAAACAATCTTTGGATTAAATCAACGGTAGCTTATAAGTATTCACCAAAGTGGAGAAAGTTTTGTGGTAGATGAATGCTGCTGCTGTGGGTGTTTACCAAGCCGCGAAGCGGCGAGGCAATTATTCACGTTAACCACCGACTCTGACTCGGAGGTGGATGGTTGTTTAAGTATATACTAAATAGCGCAAAAAAAGATGATCTTAACTTATTTTTCCTGTAACGATTACGATATTTCGGCCTAAATCCCCTGCGAGTTGCTCCGAAGTGAATAACAAGGGATGTTCGGCGTTTAAGAGGCCAATCAGAGCGCGCCTTGAACGCCTTGAGCCGTGTTAGTATACACTAAAAGAGACCATACAGATTATTCTTTCCCCACCTCATCAAATGCAGAATTTGCTTGTAAATTTGAAAGCAATGAGGTTTGCCTGAAAAAGCAATACACATCAAATAATGAAAATCTATATTTTTGTTGTTTATCAACTCATCGACCGGACGTAACTTTTGGTTCAATTCGAGTACTTATCCTAATCAATGAAAAAATAACATTGATTGATACAGTATTTAATCATAACCATTACAATTTCCTCAAATATGATTGGTGCATCAGCTGCTTCATTTTTCAATGAACATTCTGTAGAGGTGTAATCGGACAGTTGGCTGTAAGCGGACACCTCGTGATAAACCAATAGGACTCCGCTTCGCGGTAGTCCGATTTTGTTAATCGCTCGTATAATTACAGAACGAATTGGACTCCGCTCGGTCCTATTACCATTATTAATACATATATTTTTTTTATGTCTAACTCGTTGAACTTCAACTTTTTCCAGCGAATCTACAAAATTAAAGAAAGCTGAATATCATATGATTAAATTTCTTCAATTTCCCGTTGATAAGAGACAGAAAGATATTGGAATAATTCCTCGTAAAGATTAATTCGCTATTGAATACCTACCCTCCGTTCCACAAATCTTGGTGTCCTATGGAGTTTTAAAGAGAAAAATAGAGAAATTGTTACTCTTTTTAACGAAGATTTCTCGTTCCCTTTGACTCTAAAGTAATTTCACGTCTTTAAAACACTGAAAGCTTTATCCTTGTCTTCTTCATCATTGATGGTTAAGCTATATGTAACTTATTTATAAGGCATGCATTATTTAAAAGATATCTAAATTGTTATAGTTTACTTCACTCTGCTCTGTGATTGTTCTAAAATAACTCCCCAATCAATCAGATACAAAACTAAAATCAATGGCGGCTCGAATGATTTTGAACTCTAGGTGACTCCATTTCATATGAGTACAAAATTATCCTTTTTTCCTGATTAGCCTCTGTTATATCATGTACTTCAGCTTTTGTCTTACGACATTCCATCGAAGGGCACGCTTTAAGTTACTTACTTTGACCATCTTCTTTGTCTTGGATAATTTTTTTTCGCACAACCACAATTGCACTTAGTATGAAAAATATGATGCCCACTACTATTAAAATGATGAATTCAATTTTCCACGGGGACTCGACGTCTATTTGTCTGCTGCTGAAGATTGGAGTCAGAGCATTCTCACTCTCTGTCGAATGAAATTTAAAACAGTCAACATCTGGGAAATGGGGTGAGGTTTTGATTGGTTCACTAGATTGACATGTCCGCGGTTTTGAGCCTAACCGCGGTCATTACTTTGTGCCCCTTCCCTCCCCAGCACTGTGCTCGAGAAGCTTCAGTTACGTAGTCTCTCTCTCCATTCACCTACAAAACAACCCAATTTCTGGGCTTTATATTCATTCATGTTTATATGGCCTTTTGTCTACGATAACCATGAAACGTTCAGATACACAATTACGCCTATGAGCAAAATTGAGTCTGATGGCAGCCACCATTTACCTGCAAACTTTTATGTGACCTACTGACCGAAAATAAACTGTCTAAGAAGAAACATATAGGGCAGTAATGATGATTTTTCTCACCCATTTTCTTACCTGTCGGAACCATGTTTTCTGTCGGAACTGTTTCGCGAGATATGACGTTTCCTTGTGTAACTTTGTTTTCAAAGTTGGTGGATATGTTCAGCATTTTGTCTCTGTCCAACATACTCTCTCCACATTTGTTCCAAGCTTTCACCACGAACGAGTAAGATGTATTATCCTCAAGTCCAATGTGAAATATGTTTCTTGTAACATTTTCCAGTTGCCATGATTCTGCACCCTCACGTTTTTGCCAAACTGTATACGTCACCTGCACCTCTCCTTCACTTTCAGCTGCTGACCATCGTAGCGTCCAGTTGGGACTGGTCACTATTTTGTCTGAATTCAGTATAGTTGGGCTTTCCGGAAGTACTGTGTCAAGCAGGAAAATTTAGTTGTTTATGAGGAATTCCAGGGGAAATAGAATGAAGGGCTACGGCCAAAGGTGTATTCATTAGCTCGTCAGGTGATCAATGAGAAGGAATTTTAGGATCCATATTTGAGCACTGAACGGAATGCAAAGTTGACATAACAAGAATCATTTATGGGGAAATTCTATGAACAAGATCAGTGGTAGTCGGTTTGCCTTGCGTTAAAGGGGGTAAGTTTCTAAAGAAACTGTAGTGCTGCGTCAGTTAGGGATTTGACAATATAATTTGGTTTCATCAATTGAGTTGATAATGCCATATAATGAGCCATCGTATAAGGAGTTTCTGAAGCTGACCTTTCGAGAGTCAGAACGAAGGGCTCTGACGAAGGGCTAACACTCGAAGCTTCATTTTAAGGTGATTCCTCAGTATTGCACTGCGCATCCTGTATTGCGCATAAAAATCATGTAATCAGGGGAATGAGCGCGCGCATTCCGAGAACACGGTATTGTTTTTCAATCCACAGACCAGGTAAAGAGGTGCGATGGTCTTCGGCTCTTGGACGAGGAAGGTGACCTATAGTTTTATTACATAATTTTGATGAAAAATTATTCCCTTTAAATAAGGGAAATTAAAAAAAAAAAAAAAACTTCGAACGGAAAAAAAGACAAAGCTAAAAGCGTGCTCTAAGCCCATTACAAATTATGAACTTGAAAGGAACGACTCGTGGAACGTTTTGGGTCAATGTCGTTTAAATTGGCTTGATTTTCCCCAAAAATTATAAACCAAATTGTTCCATACGCTCGAGAATTTCTACCTATTAAGTTTTTTCAAGTGTTACTTTAAAAACCCTTGCTTCCAGCTGCACCATATGTACCATAGACCTGTGAAATGACGCGTGTGATTAGTGCCAGTACCTGAGGCATATATCTCCTAAACAAGCACGATAACTTAACTAAAGTTTAAAAAAATTGTTCGATAACTTTTTTTATTGAGGAATCACCTTAAGAAACTTCGTCTGACAAGCATATGTGAAACCATTTACCTAGTAGGATAACAGTCCTAGTATCTTCTCCGGCGGTGTTTTTAGCAACAGAAACATAATCGCCGCAGTCCTCAGCTGTAATATTTCTTAGGGTCAGTATGGCTTGAGAAGTACCGCTGACTAATACTTTGTCATTTCTTTTCCACATGACTTGAACAGGAGACAAGCTTTGGGCAATACATGTAAGGTTAACGTTCTGTCCTTTCCTGAGCGGCGCCGGTTTACTGACGTTCATGATTCTCGGTAGATCAAGCATGGCTGCAAACAAATTTATCTGGATCAATCTCTCAGTAACTAGATGTAACTAGAAATTACCTTTATCGATTTCTTTTGATAATTCAGGGACCCCTCCGGTCAAGGAACTCTAACTTTGATCCCAACAGAACAAAACAATGACCCTCTAACCTTGTCAATTGTTGCCTTCATTGAAGATACATGCATGTACCTCTATTCAGCGGACTCCGTCTTATAACCTACAGATGTACCATAATCACAGCATCCAAAAGTTTAATTTTGAGTCAGTGCCAACATACTCCGAGCTGTCTTCAACGATATTACTTACGTCTGGACTTAACTTGAAGCTGAACTGTGTCGGTCAACAGGTTATGCTGGAGACCATATTCCACCACTATTCCATACTTCTTGCTATCTTTTAGTTTTACATTATAAAGTTCAAACACTGCGACAGAGGATGTCAAATTTCCTGCCCAACCCATAGATGACTTGTGTGAAGACCTCGTTGAAGCAAAACCACTCGAGTTGACAGCTATCAACTTTGTTTTCAGGAAGCCAGGACTCTTCCAAATACCAAACACCACCTCGAAAAGATCATTCTTTAGATCTCCTGAATTATAGTGCCACTTAAATGACACAGTCTCGCCAGTGAAGGCTTTTGTTGGCTTTTGTGGAGTAGAGATTATACTTGGATAAACTATAGCTTGAATGGATCCTGTAAATGACATTACAAGGTACCGGTCATTATTTATCGCAGGGGGGGAATGGAGGGAATGGGATGATTTTGGTTGTGTCACAATAAAATTTACCTGATCCCCCGTAAAGGCTCTGTAGTATTCTTATATTCTCTCCTTATTTGGAGTAAATTTTCTTTAATTCCCCCTCCTCTGAACGTTATGACTAATGACTGAAAACTACGAACCTAATCAACATTAAGACTGGAAACCACGTAGAATTAATCCTTGATTAATGTCCACAATCAAAATACGTCCAGCCAGCTGATTGTCAATGATTCTGGATGATTGTCTAATATTGATGATATTTTTTAAGTATATTTCTTGGTTGAAGATCTTTCGGGCTCGGCAACTGATTATTAGTTGATCTGTTATTTAACAATTCAGTATAAATTGGGAAATGACAATTATTCTATTGCGTTTTACTTTTTTGGACGAAGCGTTTTTCATGTTATGCGTCTAATATTAAGACGGAACGCATAGAAAGACGAACTACGAGAAACGAATAATTCATAGTATTGTGGGCGGCCAAACTAAAACGAATAGTCGTTGTGGTCAATGAAGTCTCGGCCGTGTTGGAAGTTGTGAAATTGCCTTCTGGAAAAAGAAAAGAAAAAGAAGTCGCCAACAAGATCATGATTTAAAAAAGAAACAGAAACGAGCATGATGTCCTGAGGAGTTAAGGAACAGAAAATGGATGATGAATAAATACCAAATCTGAGATAAACCTTCTCTCAAAGAAGGATTGAGGGTGTCACAAAACAATATAATTTCTTCTGAGCGACTTGAAAGACCAATCATGAAGGAGCCCACTTGCTTTAAGCATATAACCGTGGCTCTCTCTAATTATAACACGATCTCATTTTAAAACGTGCTTTGCCCGTCTTTAAACAAAGAGATTCATTATGCGTTCATATGGACTAACCTTGTATTGCGTCTTCAAGATGTATTACGGGGCAAGGTTCCGGTAAACGCGTAATGAAAGTCTTTCTTCAAAGAGCCGATGTTATGCGTCCAGACGAACTACCTTTCTACTGTGTAGAAGCATAACATATTTGCAAATACTATTATTTCCCCAAGTTCTTTTGGATAATTATTAATTATAATTAATAATACGGCTTAAGTATAAAAACGGCCATCGATCCATAAGAAAACGGAAAGGGATAAGTGCGAAATTTTATGACGAGCTTTGCGTCGGAAAAAAATTGTATGCAAATTAGCTGACTGCGCATACAATTCGCAGCCAGCTAGTTTGCATAAGTAATTCAAGCCAAAGTTTGACACCTCTTGGTGGCATGAGGTGTTCGCTGAACATTCCAGGACATCCGATAATCGCTACAAAAATGTTAATAAAGCTTCACTCGAATGAAATGGAAAAAACCGCAACTTCCGATGATTACATTTCTAATCATTTTCAAGATACAACTCTACTTTGTTCGCTCATTTTCCAGAAACAAGAGTCCAGAAACTTAACGGGTCTAGTTCGAAAAAACCTAAGGGGCGGTACGCTAAGCTTATTTTCTCTGTAGAGACAATAAAGGTTTTAAAGAAGACAACAGTAAATCGTTAACAAAAGGTCCACAATTAGTCCTGACGAAATATTACAGAAACATATAACAGGAACACTTTACAACACGTAAAAAGAAGAAACTCAAAAATATCCTTAAAAGCGGCACCGGTAAAGCTAATTTCACCTCCATGATCGAAGACCTAGGCCTACTTAAGGCTAACTGCGACAAACCCCTCTTTACACAGGTCATGGTTTTGAACTTAAAGAGTCCAGAAACTGTATTGATTAAATAAGCCAGAGAATACACATTGCTTTCAACTGATGGTCTCCCCGTTCAGTCTACAAGCTTCGGCGCAATCTTATAATGACCTTTTATGCGCAAAAGTTTTGGAACGGTATTTTTAGCTTTTCCGAAGACATCACTCTTGCCAAAATCGACTATAAAAGGGGAGAAGCTGGTCTTACGCGTCTGCCGGGTGGGGAGGGTAAAGAAGAGGTTAAAAATAACCCTCTGGTATACACTACCCAAGAGGGGGTGGAACAGATTAAAGATAACCCTCAGGTATATACTACCCATGAGGGTATAGAACAGATTAAAAATAACCCACAGGTATATACTACCCATGAGGGTAGAGAAGAGATTAAAAATAACCCTCAGGTATATCCTACCCAAGGGGTATAAGAGAGATTAAAAATAACCCTCAGGTATACACTACCCAGGAGGGTATAGAAGAGATTAAAAAAACCCTCATGTATACTACCCAAGAAGGTATAGAAGAGATTAAAATTAACCCTCAGGTCTACACTACCCAGGAGGGTATAGAAGAGATTAAAAAAAACCCTCAGGTATACTACCCAAGAAGGTATAGAAGAGATAAAAAATAGCCCTCAGGTATATCCTACCCAAGAGGGTATAAGAGAGATTAAAAATAACCCTCAGGTATACACTACCCAGGAAGGTATAGAAGAGATTAAAATTAACCCTCAGGTATACACTACCCAGGAGGGTATAGAAGAGATTAAAAAAACCCTCATGTATACTACCCAAGAAGGTATAGAAGAGATTAAAATTAACCCTCAGGTCTACACTACCCAGGAGGGTATAGAAGAGATTAAAAAAAACCCTCAGGTATACTACCCAAGAAGGTATAGAAGAGATAAAAAATAACCCTCAGGTATATCCTACCCAAGAGGGTATAAGAGAGATTAAAAATAACCCTCAGGTATACACTACCCAGGAAGGTATAGAAGAGATTAAAAATAACCCTCAGGTATACACTCCCCAATAGGGTATAGAAGAGATTAAAAAAAACCCTCAGGTATATACTACCCAAAATGGTATAGAACGGAATTTAAAAAAAAAACCCTGAGGTATACACTACCCAAGAGAGTATAACAGAGATTAAAAATAACCCTCAGGTATACACTACCCAAGCGGGTATAGGAGAGATTATAAATAACCCTCAGGTATACACTACCCAAGAGAGTATGCGAGAGATTAAAAATAATCCTCAGGTATGCACTACCCAAGAAAGTATTGAACAGATTAAAGATAACCCTCAGGTATACACTACCCAAGAGGGTATGTAAGAGATTAAAAACAACCCTCAGGTATACACTACCCAAGAGAATATAGAAGATATTAAAAATAACCCTCAGGTTTACACCAGCTAAGAGGATAAAGAAGATATTAAAAATAACCCTCAGGTATACACTACCCAAGAGGGAATAAGAGAGATTAAAAACAACCCTCAGGTATACACTACCCAAAAAGGTATAGAACAGATTAAAAACAACCCTCAGGTATACACTACCCAAGAGAATATAGAAGATATTAAAAATAACCCTCAGGTTTACACCAGCTAAGAGGATAAAGAAGATATTAAAAATAACCCTCAGGTATACACTACCCAAGAGGGTATAGAAGAGATTAAAAATTTCCCTCAGGTATACATTACCCAAGAGAGTATAGAACAGATTAAAAACAACCCTCAGGTATACACTACCTAAGAGGGTATAGAAGATATTATAATAACCCTCAGGTATACACTACCTAAGAGGGTATAGAAGAGGGCCTGCTTCCTGGATTTTAGTAAGGCTTTTGACCATATTGACCACACTATCTTAGTCAATAAACTCATCCACCTTGGGGTCCGTGGTTTTATTATCCGTTGGATTTGCAGTTTTCTTTATGGCCGTCGCCAAGCTGTTAAGATTAAGAACATTGTATCCCCTTGGTTGCCCGTGCACGCTGGAGTCCCGCAGGGCACTAAGCTTGGCCCCATCCTGTTCCTCCTGATGATTAACGATCTCGCGATTGAAACTCCATTACTATCGAGCCACTGGAAATATGTAGATGACCTAACAATATCCGAGGTCATCCCATCAGGCGGTACATCGTCCCTTCAGAAAGATCTTGACGCCATTGCACAGTGGTCGTCGCGCAATAATATGAACCTCAACCCAAAGAAGTGCAAGGAACTTGTGATTTGTTCGCTTAGAACACGGCCAGATCTTGGCCCTTTGTGCGTCAATGGACGTCCCTTAGAACGGGTCTCCTCACACAAGGTCCTTGGAGTCACTATCAGCGACACTCTTGGGTGGAATGAGCATGTGCGTGAGATTGTCTCCAAAGCCTCAAAACGTCTTTACATCTTAAGAGTGCTCAAGCGGTCCGGAATTCCACCCGAAGACCTTATTAACATATTTTATGCCTTGGTACGATCGGTCCTCGAATACGCCTGCGTCACTTGGTCTACTAGCCTACCAATTTACCTCAAGGACATGATCGAAAGAGTTCAGAAAAGAGCTCTGCGTATATTATTTCCGGCGCTGAGCTACAAAGACGCCATTGTGGCTGCAAACTCCACTCGCTTAAATGTGAGAAGAGACGAACTCTGCAAGAAAGTTTGGGACGGTATCTGTGTGCCTGGGTCACGGCTGTACCACCTTATTCCACCAAAGCGCGCCGATTGCCACGTTTATGAGTTGCGCAACAAAAACCATGTATCACTCTTTAAATGCCGGACCGAAAGATTTAAAAATCTTTCTTTCCAACAATGGCGTCTAACGCCCAGTTCTTGTAGTCAAGCAAACCTAAGCGTTTTTCATTGGTATATAACTACTGACTCTTGTAATTCCCAGTCCCCTTAGACTTTTAATTTTAAAGTCAAATGTAAGATTGTCGTATTTTTTAAATATTTAAAGTATACTTGTAAATTCACATGTAATTCACCACTGGGGTGCTATTTTTGAATACTTTTAATAAACCCTTCTATAAGATATTAAAAATAACCCTCAGGTATACATTACCTAAGAGGGTATAGAAGATATTAAAAACAACAATCAGGTATACACTTCCCAAGAGGGTATAAGAGAGATTAAAAACAACCCTCAGGTATTCACTACCCAAAAAGGTATAGAACAGATTAAAAATAACCCTCAGGTATAAACTACCCATGAGGGTAGAGAATATATCAAAAAC